AAAGGAGAGCACAGCTCTAACTTTCCTAGTGCAAAGGTAATCATTAGAAAGTTTTAAATCAAGTATACTTCCCATCTAATCATAAAAAGCCAATAATCCTTGAAGAGGAGACTTTGGTGGCAGAAAGTATTTTAATCCCTGCATTCTTTACTTTATACTCAAATCATTCTTCCTAGTACTGGATGAAACAGTGGCAGGAACCAGAAGAAATGTGAATCCCAGCCTTGTTCTGCCTTGCATTGTGGGCAGTTTAGGCTGAAATCCTAAATATACACTTAATCTAGAAGTGACATCGAACTCGATGGGATTTAGTTTTGAGTAGGCATGCATAGGATTGCACCATTAGAAGAGGTAATCTAGTCTTTACCTCCAAACCTGCTAGCCTCTGAAGTGTATAAAATTCCTTTTCTTTTTTTGCAGAGTACATCAGTAACTACCATGCAACACTGAATATACTGCGATATATTTATATTCTCCTCCTTTCAGTTTCCATTTCAAACGATAGAAAACACAAATAAAATGCAGAACAAAAGCCATACATTTCTTATATGCAAGTTGAGTCAATGTGTCATAGTATTGTTTTCCCCCCTCTCAAAATATTTACCCACAACTCATAAAATAATCTATCTAGTGTCCTACTGCATAAACTGTCATTGTAGAGCAGCGAGAAAGTACAAAAACCCCACAGCGCAATAAGATATGGGGTGGTGGGTTTTTTGGTCTTTCAAAAAAATAAAACCCTCCATAGTAAAGAGTCCAAAGAGGAGAGTTTGATTTGTTTCATTTCAAGTTAGTAGCGGAAAGTCTTAGAAAGTACACTTAAATGTGAGAATTATTTTGTGCTAACAAAAGTTCATCTTTCGTTTTCTGTCTCCTCTCCCTCTCTATGGCTGATCTCATTCTTCAAATAATGTCTGAGTCTTCAAGTAAGAAATACTGGCAAGAAGCTTACTTTTTTGGTTTATGTTCTTTATAAATTTGCTTTTATAAGCAAACAATGTAAGCTTTTCTTTCTTTTTTGTTTCTTTTTTGCAGTAAGTGTAGAAGAAAGGTTTTGCAAAATTCTAAAGTCTCTCAGATCAAATTCTCCTGATTTGATCCATATATTTATTTCTTTGGAATAAATGGTATACAACACCAATACAGACTAAATCAAACACATGCTTTGCAGTTGGAAAAATGGCACCAAGAATCAGAAGAATGAACCATATGGAATACAATGCACTGTCTTTTAGATCATTCTGACTTAAAAGTGTCAAGAATTTGGATGTTACTATGAAATAGGTTCCGGGGAACTGATACATGGACCTTGCATGACTTAGATGCCAGAGTGAACTCAGAACTATGTCTGGTGTAGTCTTACAAGAGATAGCCTTAGAGAAAATAACAATTCTATCTTTTCTTTTGAATTTTTTAAAAAATAATTAATCTGAATTCTTTTGAATTCTTTTCCATTTGTTGAAATTTTCAGGGGGTCTGGAAAAAAAAGAGAGCAAATAACACCCTGTGACATACTGTAGAGCTACTCATTTATTTCAAAATAAGTACACGCTAAAAACCAGACAACTTCTAAAATAGTAATTATAAAGTAGGCTCTTGTGAAAGGTGATTTTGGTTTCCCAAAATCGGTAAATGCAGTTAAAGCCCAAATATGCCATCATGCACATGAAAAGTTAACCATGCAGTTAATGGCTTGGTCTTAGATACCTGGTTGTCATTCTCTGATTCCAGACGAGGGGATGATTCTTCGCAGACAGCGAGACTTCGGACCAGTTTACCCTTCCCTCCTGACTGGAATATAGAAGAATAAGGAAATCACTTTTGAATACCTGTATATATATATGTGTGTGTGTGTGTGTGTGTGTGTGTGTGTACTAGCCTTCCTCACTGTGTTTCAAAAAATAAAAAGTAAAGAGATAGACCTCAAAGTAGGGAAAAGTGTTGTTTCACTGAGATAGGGTTCTGTGTTGCTGGGATGGCATGAGATAGAACACAGATATAGTGAAGATTGCAAATAATGTAATCCCTATGCATAATTTAATATAAAATGGAAGTCCCCACCAAAATGCAGGTATTCAAATGAAAAAAGATCTTAAGCATTTACACTGTGTAAAATAAATAGCTAATAACTCAAGGAAGTCCACTGACCTTATTGTAGCTAACTATTGCACGAATGAATAAAATTGGAATATGCTTTCATAATATATACACACAACTTTCCACCCCCAGCTAGTTTATCGTGACTCCGAGAAAGTAGTCAAAATCTCTACCTTGAGTCTCTTTTTCTGCTGGTTCTGGTTAGCACCTCGTTTCTGCAAACAGCAAGTGACAAATTATGCATGTCTATGGGTGGAAAATATGCATAACAGGAATAGCAGCAAGTTCATTAAATCATTCATGAAGTACCAGGTTCATGTGGTGATTGCCAGGTAACTTGGTAACTTGTGGACCTTAAAATGACTCCTTAAGGAGCCTTAGCATTAATATCACTGGTGGTAACTAGCCACAATCATTTCCATTTTTATATGCACATAAAAGCATTATTTTTACAACGTAAGACTAAAGAAACCCTCTGAAACCCCTTTGTTTTCATCTCTCCTTGAGAATTCAAAGCACTGTGGCATTTTATTGTTGCTGTTGTTTTTTTAAAAAATAAATTTTCTTTTCATAACAATCTGAAGCCAGAGACAATAGGCACTGCAAAAGTTCTATCTATACACAGTGGTGCTGATAACTATTTTCTTCTTCCTCCTTTCCACTTTCATAAGTGTTTCCCAATGGGTTTCTCACAATATAAGCAGTTTCCTCTTTTTTGCATAGCTAGGAACTGATCTGATATGCATTTATTTGTGTTCATACAACGCAACAATTCCAATGATGAATGCAGTTAACAGAAATACAGATCTTCCAGAACTGAAAGGGAAAATCTAAGACATGCAATACCTACTCAAAATGGGTACGGAGAAGGTCTTTAAAAATTAAAGAATGACAAAATTGTTTTTTAAAAGTCCAGTAGTTTAACAGAAAAGTCGCTTTTTGTTCTTACCTGGTCTGATTTGCCATTTTCATCTTTTTCATCTACCTCTGAGTTAAGGATGCAATTCTCTTGTTGGGAGATGGCTGAGTCTTGCTCGCTTCCAGTTTCTTCTGTTTTACCTTGCTCAGACATTCTCCCAGGTAGAAATTAATAGAACAAGATTTGATGACCTGAAAGGTCAAGACATTAAAAAACAAAATAGGAGGTGATATTTGCCATCTGATTCCTACGAGAGATATTTTTATTTCCTCCATGATGAACTAACAAAGCACAGCAAGAAACTCAAGAATTAGGGCAATGCAATTCAGCAGACGGCAATGGGCTGAAGTATTCTAGGTGAACGTTGAATTGTGTAAAAGCTAACAAGTAGAACAGCTTGCTTTCAAGTACTCATTGTGGCAGAAAATACGGACGTGAAATTCCTCCCCCTACCCTTTTTGTCCCACAGCTAGGGATGTGGGATGGAAGTGAATTCTTTTACCACGTAGGTGATGGACCAAATAAACGATAACCTATTCGTGCTTTTCTGGTGGGGAGGTGTCAAGCAGACCAGACCTTCCGCTAGACTGTCAATCGCTTTTTGGAAAATGGAGAAAAAAACCTAATCCACACCTCTACCAGTCAGTCATTCCCCCTGTGTACACACAACAAGGTTATAAGCACTCCCTACAAGAAAGGGAGAAATTAAGCTCTGGATGAAGAGGAATTCAACATAAACATTAATTCTAAATTTGGCAATAAAACTCTCATTGTCACCATTTCAAGCCCTCAAATTGACAGCTCCATTATAAAAAAATCACGAGCCTCCTCCAAACTCCATGTCACTCTCCAGCACAGTAAAAAATCTTCCTGGAAGCCCTTGGCTGGGAAGCTCTGATGAAGATATCTTAACTGCATTGGTCTCAGCTCACATTAGTGTGCTGCACAGGAGCTCAATACGGCTTTTCAAAGTTAAAGCCTATTATTATTTTCCACCTTCTTCCCCATGAAATACCCCCTCAGCACCGAACACCTCTGCTACTGATCAGTTGTCAGATGTATCTCATGAATAATTTAGCACTTTTTGTTCTTCTCCTAACACCCCCCCCCCCCAATTTGCCTTTTTATTTTACTTTTTGGAGAGAGAAATCTTAAGAAGAAAATTAAGTGTGGAAGAGAAGAGGAGTTATTTCAAAACAGGTTTCAGTATTTGCCCTTCTCACAATTTAATAATGGTTATTAGATAAATCGAGTCTTCATATTGTTTCTTTCGCAGGTTGCAATTAACACTGAATAGATCTTTGTAATGCCGCCTTTCTTTGTTTATTTCAAAAGGAAAATACAATGTGCATTGAGGGTTGTTGTTTTTTTCAAATAAAGAAAATCAGAAAACTGGGTATACATTTATCCTGGCTGCATTTACTTTGTCAAGTTTAACAGAAAGATCACAAAGGGTCTTGTTCCATAATTAAATTTTCAAGGGGAACATGATTTGTGAAAAGAATTGGGGCTTTGAACAATGAATGTTTTGTTTTTGTTTTTTAACCCTCTCCCCCCCCAAAAAACACTTACAATATATTTTGTTTCTTTATATGTGAACACTGGGGCAAAAGTTGCATGATTTAGAGAGGAGGTTGGTAACAATCAAATAAACCCATTCTTTATCTAGGCTATTGTGTTATACTGTCATGTTATTACATTTTCTTTTCTCGGAACACACACACACTTTCCCCTACAGCTGATCCGTTTATTTGCAGAGCATTCATATCTGAAATGAAGCCATTCTTTCTCATAAATTCAAATATAACACCATATGTTACCTGAATCTTAACCATTATCCCTGTTGCTTGGTATGCACTCCAGAGATGTACACCTAAAGCAACATGCTCACAGACCTGATGTGGCTGTATGGGCATGGCACAAATCCACAGAAATTATACCTCCTTCTGCCAATGGGTACGTAACAAAAAGAAGCTGTTTACCTTCAGTGCTGTGTTAATTCTTGACGCTTTTCTATCAGTTGCTGATGCTGCTCCTCACTGGTTAAATCCACACAAGTGATCAATGACAATGTGAGTCCCATGACCCCATTTAACAGTTCAGAGTGCCAATCTCCATGCTGTTCCTTTAAAGAGTTTGACAGATCATCGTCACCAACCTGGTGGGGAGGGGGAGGGAAGACAAAAAGTAAATACCAATAATAATAGGTATAATCATGGTAGGGTTTAAAAGATAAAATAGAGACCAGATTTCTAACACTAATGACCAGCTTCAAGCAAATCAGTTTCACAGCTTGATCCGGCTCCACCTGTCTCAAAAAACTGTGAGCTTCTCCTCTAATGAAGGCTAGAGCCGGCTGTTCAAGTCATAACAGCTCCTACGCACGGAGCTAAAATTAACAATTGCATATTATGTGCCGAAGATTACTCACTTCAGTTTTAACCTTTTTAGTGAATTCTAGCACTTTGCATTTTAAAAAAGGCTCATCTTTGCCTCAATGGAAACCAATATTGTCACGAAAGAAAAAATAATAATGTCTCTGCTGTAACTAAAGCTTCAATTTTCAGAATTAATACTCTTCCTTTTCTGTTCTTTTCTAAAGTGACCACAGCAGCAGGTATAAATGAGCTGATTGTAATAAGATAGAGCCATTAAAAATGGCTAAGAGAGAGTTAACAATTCTGAGCAATGGAAATTAGGGGAAAGTCAGAAGAAGTGGGATGTGAAGAGGGGGGAGATTGCTAAGGGAGAGAGACAGAAGGCACAGTTGCTTCAAAAATGCATTACGCTATGTTTATACCGAATGTTGCTACCAGATGGGCATTTGGTTAAAAAGAAAAGTGAGAGGTTAACAGGAAAATAGAAACATTTACAAAGTACTTAAATATCATGGCTGCCTTTTCAGGAGCTGGATTTGGCAACGGGCTGAAAATCTGACAACCCAGCCACTTAAACCTTCATTAAATCTTTAGGAAAAGAGATGTCACGAACCAGGTAATACTAATGCACAGCAGTTTGTAGAGCGGGATTAAATTGTGAACAGTGGCAACAACTGTAAGATGCACCAGTTCTGTTGTCCAAAGAAAGCGCGAAAAATTATTTCAATAACTGTTACAAAGTAGAGTTTTTATTTTCCCCCAATTCATATTCTAACCTCTTATTATGCTGAGAGCTCCTCAGACAAATTGCCATGAAGTAAATGTGTTTCTCTCACCTCTTCTGTTTTATATGCAACAACAGTATAAATGTTATCTACTCCCTCCTTGGCTGAAACTTATTAGTAGCAACACAGTAATTGTTCTCGAAGGGGAAAAAACCTTAATGTTGAAGCAATGGGAGTGGCTGCAGTACCTTGAGAACAAACCAATTACAGATTAACTCATCACTGCTTGTCCTTTCTCGCTAAAAAAACCAACACCCTACCAAATAGTAAGAAAATGAACTGGAAACCAGCTCCAAAGAAAACAAAATAAAATCCGCATTGTGCTTCCCTGATTTTATGACAAGAGGCAGAGAAAAATAATTGCAAAAAGCACAATCCATCAACAGACTTCCATGCTGGACCAGAATAAGGAGTGTTTGTTCAAGAGCCGTTTAATAAAGCAATCCAAGATTCAAAGGTCTTTGTAAAAGTGCTGGTGCCTCCTTATAAACTCACAAAGACATTACAAGCTGTTGATTGTTTGCTGCTGATGGTGCCAAATAAAACAATCCTGTTTTGCTTGAAAGAAGTATAATAAAACGTTAGGACTGAATGGGTGTCGAGCCATTCATTGGACTACAAACCCAGAGTACACTGCCTTATAACCAGAAAGACACCTGGACTTGTTCAAAAGCATATAAAAGACTGGAGAAGAAGCAAACATTCTATTTTGGCATTCCACAGATCCATGTCAGTGAAAACACACGGAAGTGGTGTGTCAGGGAAAAATATTACTAAGTCTGGATACCTGCATATGTTTTGTTTTTTAAAGATAAGGCTTTATTAAGATTTTCAGGTCCCAGTTTTCAAAATACGATGAACCCTGTTACCTAAAACAACAACGATACACATGTATTTCATGATGGGGAAACATGCACTGCTGATATGAACTGCAATTCAACCTGCATTTAAATGCTTTGATTATGCAAGAAACAGATTCCTCAATGAGTTTCCAAAATATACATTGTTTCATGTGAAAATAATATGTTATTTCCACTGTGGCTATCTTTCCCCAATTCTCACTGGAGAGAAAACATAAAGTGAGTATCATGTATAAGAATCATATATGAAACATACATTCACAAACTGCTTGTAAAATCTGTTTTAAGTGAACTAGCTTCTTTAACCATCCATAAACTCAAAGCTTAATCTTATGGCCTTTCCAAATAGTTAGGTTATCAAGCAGCAAGTACAGAGTTATTCCCTGTTTTGTAAGGATCAACATGCCATCCTTCAACACTTCTATTTCCACGATATCCTATCCCTAGTGCTCATACTGCTGCAGTGTGTCACTTTCTCTGGCTAAGAATTTGCTTCTACTTGTGCCCCAGGAGCTATAGGTGGGATGGGATCAAACTTCTCATGAGTTTTGGTACTTTCAATCCCAACCAACCATGTAGAATGATCAAATCCATCTTTACCTGGGAGTAAGTCCCACTGTGCTTATTCCCAAGTGGTGCATACAAACATCAGATTGTACCTCAGTTGGAACTAAACTCTGTTAAAATCAATAGGGCTTGCTTCTAAATAACAAATTTAAGATCAGCACATTGAGTTGCGATTTTAAAAATGACATAAGCAGGCATGGCTGCCCAAAAATCCGTTTAAGTGCCATTGACTTCTGTTGGTCTGGAGTAGATATAGCTTTGAAGGCAATTCACACACACATTTTTTAAAATGTGGTAAAGTTATTTATAGCTTACTTTTCAGAGAATTTTGCCATAGTGATTTGGTTTTGTGAATCTGGATTAATGTTCAGTTATTTCCAACCTACCAACTTTCCCCCCTTTAAAACTCAGATCTATCTTCCAAAACCACACCATTACACCCATCTGCCTTTGTACCTCACTGAATAGAGTTTCAATGGGTCACAAATCATCATCACCATCAATTCGTTGTTGCTTCTTCTTGATCCCCCTTCACCATAGTGCACCAGGGTGAGTTACAACAATATAAAAATAAAATATTCATATCAGTTAAAATAATATAAATAATCTCCACATTTATTTTAACAATCCTGATTTCCCCAGCACTAAGCTCATTAGGGTATAAATCACTGATTTAAATAACCAATTTAAATAATTGATTTAAATAAAAAAATCCATTTATTATTTAGATTCTTACTAAGTAAAAGTGCAGACTAATTGCTTGCTATAAACCTAAAACACATTTATTTAAAGCTTAAAAGTGCATTTATACAGCTTCAGAAAGTACACTACAAATTTGCTAAATACTTATCATTATGTTTACAAATTTTGAAATAAATATATACAAAATACTGCTTAGTTTTAAAGCAATCCTTCAAACGCCTGTTGAAGGCTGGCTGAGAGGAGCTAGAATGAAGCACATCTGCACCTCCATTGGTGGGGAAGTACTCTGCCAACAGTACAGCCCATTCATCCCAATGGCCACTGGTAGACCGACAGAAAGCTTGATAGGCACAGGTCTACTTCTAGTGGTTTTCCTACAGGTGACATGGACCACAATATTCCAATGGATCTATCTATCTGGGGTGGCCTTGAATCCAAAATTTCCTTGATAACCCCCAGCATCTTCTGTCCTGGCCACAGCAAACTTGGGAAGTGGTAAATCATCCCCAAATTGGGGATGTGCCACAATCCTTTACCCTCTTTCCTGGGAGCACGTCTCATTGAGTTCAGTGGGGCTTACTTTAGAGTAGACATGCATAGAATTGCGCTAGTAATGCTAATGATCATGTCAAGCTCCATTAGAATTACCCATATTCATGCCATGTATAAAGCAAATAATAATAATTGAATTTTTATTAAATAATGTTTTTGTCATACAACTGCCCTGTCTTGCCTTACCTCAAAAAACAGGTAAATTATCTCAACTAGGGTTACTAGACATTAATGGAAAGACTACTTGTCTTCATGAGATGGAACATACCTGTGTTCTCTAGGTTCAGGTGGTTCAGGGTGACAGCTGTAGGGACTTGCCTCCATAAGCAAATAATAATAATAATTTAATAATTTTATTATTTATACCCAGCCCATCTGACTGGGTTTTCCTAGCCACTCTGGGTGGCTTACAACATATATAAAAACAAAATGAACTGAACAAATGAACTACAGTCGTACCTTGGAAGTCAAATGGAATAGTTCTGGAAGTCCATTTGACTTCCAAAACATTCGACTTCCTAGGTGCGGCTTCTGATTGGTTGCAGGAGCATCCTGCAGCCAATCGGAAGCTGCAGAAGCAGCACCGGATGTTCGGCTTCTGAAAATCATTTGAAAACCGGAAGAATCACTTCTGGTTTTCGACCTTTCAGGAGCCGAAATGTTCGAGTTTACAGGTGTTCAGCTTCCGAGGTTCCACTGTATTGTGCAATATGATAATTTATAAATATATTTCCCCCACAGTTCTTTCTTTAAAAAAGAAAAGTCCACTATAAGATAGGGCTGCCATAAGTCCGGGAATTCTTGGACACATCCTCTTCTGGGGGGGGGGGTCTACATGCCCATTTGGGGGGGAATTTTACATGTTAAAGCAAATGTCCGGGAAAAACAGTTGCACTTAGCCACCTTCCAGGTGCAGGGCAGCTGTGACCAGTGGTGCAGAAGAGGAGTCTGGATTTGATAGCCTGCTTTATCGCTACCCTAAGGAGTCTCAAAGCGGCTAACATTCTCCTTTCCCTTCCTCCCCCACAACAAACACTCTGTGAGGTGAATGGGGCTGAGAGACTTCAAAGGAGTGTGACTGGCCCAAGGTCACCCAGCAGCTGCAGGTGGAGGAGCAGAGACGCGAACCCGATTCTCCAGATTACAAGTCTACCGCTCTTAACCACCACACCCAGCAGGGTCTGACAACCAGCAAATGAGAAAGTTCTCCTGTAGGCTATTTTGGATTGGGGGCGGTTTTGCCCTGTGAGCTACCCACCCTCATGTTAGATCCTTCACTGAGCAATTCGGACCACTAGTTGACAGGGCTGGAAAGGAATTTTCTCTCTCAAACCTTGGTTGGGTTGTTGTGGTTGTTGTTGTTTTGCCTTCCCCCCAAGGAACATTTATGGCTTCCTTAGGTGGAATAATGTTGTATAAGTGCACTGGGCAGGGATAACACAGTGAAGTGTGAAGCCCATAAGGGGTCTAAGGGAGGATTGGCCATGGCATGTCCCAAGCTCAGGCTGGGGTCTCTGGCTGGCTGGACTCCTCACCCTGGTTGCCCAGTGAAACTTTGGAAGCTTGGCTTGCACCATGATAGGGTTTAGAACTGGGCGACTCCTGTGAAATGGGTATGATGCAGTCCAGCCACAGTTGAACACATTTCACCAGCAAGGGGTGGGTGGATTGATAAACTGATCCTGGCCACGCTGCCATGCCAACCCTTACCCCTGCCTACTGCAGTCAATAAAACTTTGACCTGATTGCATCCCAACATCTGGTTGTTTGCTGCTGTTCTGGATTGCAAAATATGCCTGCTGGGGCAATGAAATGGCAAATGATTAAATAGAAAACACCCTTCAAATTCAATTGATTGAATTTGAATCCTGCCTCTCCATTAGTGATCTTCCACCTGTTAATCCAGACTGATATGGTGCCATGCCCAGGCAGCAGAAATGATATGTCTAAAGTAGTTCTTGCTCAAAAGGTGACTCAAACAAGTGAGCCCAACAGAAGAAAACATAAAGACACCTCAGGGTCACCAGTATATCGTGGGGGTATGATTCCACGTATGTCAGCTGCAAAGAAAACCCATACACCTAATTCAGCAGAAAGAATCACCCAAACAGTGGCCTCATTTGGGTGTAATGCTACACTATGATTTGCCATTAAACAAATTAACCCCAGGCTCATCAGAAACCAGCTCACCTTTCCTCCAGCATGGCCAGCAGCTTATCCTTCATTCTGAACCTGGACAAACTGTTTTTCAGTCTTGGCTTGGACTGAAACAAGACAGCTTTAAAGCATGGCTCACAAAGTTGCTTTGTTCCTCTAAACTTTATTTGAAATTAAACACATCTTAGGATTCAGACATAATGATGAATGGCATTTAATTTAAAACAGTCACAGCTGGACCAAAGAAGGGGGGAGAGGAAAGTGCACGATTTAGTGCTAAACCACAGTTTAGTGTCATCAGCGGTACTTTGTCTCAGTTGCTAGTATTTGGGGTAAAGGTTCTGGCTAGATATGAAGTTTCATTATACAGAAAGCCCGCAACTTATGCATGGGTTACATTCCAGGCATTGTGTCTAAACCCAAAATCACGTACAGTGGTACCTCAGGTTACAGACGCTTCAGGTTACAGACACTTCAGGTAACAGACTCCGCTAACCCAGAAATAGTACCTCTGGTTAAGAACTTTGCTTCAGGATGAGAACAGAGATAGTGTGGCGGCAGCGGGAGGCCCCATTAACTAAAGTGTACCTCAGGTTAAGAAGTTTCAGGTTAGGAATGGACCTCCAGAACGAATTAAATTCTTAACCCGAGATACCACTGTATAGTCAAAACACACTGAGCCAAACCCCTTTTCCCCAGACACTCATCCCCTTTCCGTCCCCTTTTTAATTTATTTCTTTTTTTAAAGAAACCAAGCGTATAAAGCTGAATGTGCACAAGTTATATGCGTGCAAGCTTCAGGCTTATGGTATATGCCATTTGAGATATATCTATATTCTGCTAAACATACATGAGTCGCGGAAGGGAGCCTATTATACCTAGGTTTCTGTACTTTGAATTTTATACATGTACAGGCTATATTACCTCACAATACAACATAAAGTATTATCCGCATTTTAATACATTATGCCGTACAACCTAATAGATATTCTTTATTGCACACAAAACTCCTCCCAGCCATTGTCCTTTAAATATTTAATCTGCCAATCCTATTAGCAAATTCTCCTGTCATTGACTTTTATAACTGAAGGCAGCCCTGTTTAGGGAAGTTTTTAATGTTTAATGCTGTATTGTGTTTTTAATATCCGATTGGGAACCGCCCAGAGTGGCTGGGAAAACCCAGCCAGATGGGCGGGGTATAAATAATAAGTTGTTGTAGTTGTTGTTCTTATATACAATTTCAGCCTTGGAACACAGTCAGTATGTTCAGATATACACTACAGCCTTATTTTGGACATGTTGCTTGCATATAAAGGCTGAACATTTCTACTGTTTGCCATGGCTTGGAGAGCAAAGTCTAAAGCAGGGAGACTCCTCTGTTCAATACAGATTCTCTTGAGTGATTCAGAATCCTGGGAAAGTGAGGCTCTATAACATGCAGGGAGCCTCTAGGAATAAGAAGCAGCTCCCCACTTCAGACTTCGAACAATGACTTGTGGGGAGTGAAAAGCAGAGTGATGTTGTGAAGGAAGGGTGCAGAGCTTAGCAAGCTCATCTCCATTCACTCTGCTTGCTTGCATGCCCAAATAGAACTAATATTTGTTAGGTATGTCTAACCCAACACAGTGAAAGAAGATGGCTTTTGTCAAAAAAGACAGTTGCACAAGCTGGTGTGGCTCCCAACAAGTTTGAGTAGATGCTTTATCGGGGAAATGATTTTATGCTACAGTGGTACCTCGGGTTAAGAACTTAATTCGTTCCGGAGGTCCGTTCTTAACCTGAAACTGTTCTTAACCTGAGGTACCACTTTAGCTAATGGGGCCTCCCGCTGCCACTGCGCCACCGCCGCGCGATTTCTGTTCTCATCCTGAAGCAAAGTTCTTAACCTGAGGTACTATTTCTGGGTTAGCAGACTCTGTAACCTGAAGCGTCTGTAACCAGAGGCACCACAGTATTTATATATTAAAAAACTGCTTGGGACTACCCTTTGATAAAACCAGCGCAGCAGAGCTCAAGGTTCGGTTGGTATGGTGTGGAACTATAACATAGCCACTGCAAGTAAAGAGATACTCCTTCTACTAGTTCAGCAGTGGTTTGCAGATGGTTCCTCAGCCAATTGAAGAACCAAGCCCAATACACACTCAAAGAGACAAGAGGGGAAAGAATCAAAGGCAGCTGCTTGAAAAACTGCACTCACTTTCCCCATTTGAACTTCCTGCTTGAACTTTGCTTTGATAAGTTTACTTCCCTTCCATTTGCATTATTTTGCTGGAATTAATTTATACAAATATTTAAAATGTTGCAAAATCACTCATTTCACCATTCAAATTATATTACTGTATCAGCTGGACTGAATACCAGTGTATTTCCAAACCCAATTCAAAGTGCTGGTTTTGACCTTTAAAACTCTAACCAGCCGGGCCCAAGCGATTAATTGGACCACTCATACCCATATTATCCAGCCTGCACTTTAAGATCCTCTTCAGAGAATCCCATGGTATTTTCACCCCCTAGGTTGGTGGAGGGGGTGGCCACGAGAGATCCTTCTCTATGGTGGCCCTATTGCATTAGAATTTCCTTCTGCTGGGCCTAAACCAAAGCTCTGTGCTGCAGGCTTTCAGAAGACCCTAAGGCTAATTTGTCATCTTTCCTTCCAGGCATGATGGTCGTTAGCTGGGTGACAGCCTGTCTCAATTATATTCCTTCTGGTTCTGTATTTTTTTTTAGTCAAAAGTTGATTTGCAGTATTCTAAAGTTTCAAATTTTGGACTGTTGTATACCTTTTAAAAATCTTTTGTTCATTTGTAAGCCGTTCTGGACAGATAGTAACTCAGAAAAGTGGCCTAAAATAAAAAGTGTGTTTGTGTGTGTGTGAAAATTTATTCACATCAAACACATTTAAAGAAGTTGAATTTAAAACTCATAGCGCACAGTAATTCAGCTCCGTTCTTAATCCATACAATTTGGTGCAATGCGAATTAGTCTGCACTGTCAACTCATGCACTGAACAGTAAATATTCAATGATTAGGAATAAATGGCAATATATATTCTATTATCAGAAATATATATTCCTGAGAGGTTGTGGGCTCCTATCCTGGGTTGAGTTTGCCTCTTTCCACTTGACACAGGCTAACAGGGATCCCCTTGAATTTATAGTTTCACTCCAAAAGCCCAAGTGACAGAAAGGGATGATGTAATATGTTTCTATGGCTGCCTCCTAGTGGCCAAAAGGCAAAAGTGGTCTCTCGAGAACTAGTTGGAACTGAGCTCCATCGAGACCTGTGATCCTGGTAACAGTTCGAAGATGGATGCCAAACTGAAAACTGTGAACCAGAAACCAATAAATAAAACCAGTTGTTGTCCATATTGCTGGTGTAAAGGTAAAGGGACTCCTGACCATTCGGTCCAGTCGTGGCCAACATTTATTATAGGTGCACCCACTTCTACTCAAATGCAGAGAACCTGGCCACCACCATTTATGACATCAATGGCCTATTGTTAAGAGTGCTGCTACTCACTGCACACCTGAATGCCTGTGATGCTCTCTGGAAGCTTCAAGTCTTGTAGGACACAATGGGAGAAGATACCGCAAACGTACTACATTACTGCCCCAGCACACAGACTGTCACCCTGCTCTCTCAAGGGCACATATGGATCCTACCCAGTGCTGTTTTTTTTCTAGAAAAGGAGGTGCTGGAATTCACTATGAGCACTCATTCTTTTGGAATGGCAATGGCGCCCACCTGAGTGCTGCCAGGATTGAGTTCCAGCAAATTCCAGCTGGAAAAAAATAAGCCCTGATCCCACCTCCCTCTTGTGTCCCATTGCAATTGCCAAAACCAAGCAGTTTTGCCAAGTTCTCACTACATTGCAAGGTATAGAATTTCTACCCAAACCTTCAACAGGATTCCAAACCGGCATATCATTTCGGAAGTGTCTAAGAGTTGGGCCAAGCTTCAGGTGTGGGCTGGAGATCATTTTAATGTTGCTGCTTAAAAATAAAAAATAAAAATCTTCACACTCTCTTGGCTGTATATAGATATCAGATAAACCTATTTATTTAAATAACCTCTGCCTGAAAGACTGCATGACTAAGAATGTTTTAAAAACTGTTCATTAGTCATATTTCAAAATCGGAGTTTTTAAAAATTCCTCACAACAAATAAGTAATAACACGGGGAGAGCCAGAGAATCGTGATACCAGAGATGTGATGACACATCTCTGACTGCAAGATGGATTTCTTCTCCTATAACACAGGCTTTAAAAGGTATCAATGGCTACTAGCCAGCCACAAAGACTATGCTCTACCTTCACTCAATACCAGCTGGGAATAGCAGGTGAGCAGAGCACTGTCGCATTCATGCCCTGATTGCAGGCTTCCCACAAGCTTCTGTCTGGTTGGCCATTATGAAAACATGATGTTGGAAAAGATGGGCATTAGCTTGATCCAGCAGGCTCTGGCTATGTTCTTATCAACAGTCAACATGCATGCAGGTGGGCATGAGGTACTGAAGAAAAAAAGAGATGTGCCAAAAATTATACAAAACTGGGACACCTTCAGATGTGCATTTATTACACCAAAGTCTGTATGTTTCTGTACAGAAGGTGGTCTGTGTTTGAGATCATAGCTCAAATGCTTATTGACATAATATATTAAGCTGGGGGGAGATCATATAGTACACCTGAGCATGTTAAGAACTGTCAATTTATACACAATGTTTGAAGGTTTCAGAGGATCGCTAACAAAAATATTTGCAACAAAATTATTTTGTTAGTAATTGTTAGATATACCTTACTCAGTTTCCATAACATAATTTAAGGCAATGCAAATCCTGCAAGGTCGGTTAATTCAATAGTGTTTTCCCTTACAGTATTTTAGACAATATTCAGATGATTGCTGCAGTGCTATATTGAAACATCAAATAAGAATAGTAAGATAAATAGATTTGAGGTTCTCAGCAGGCTTCTTCCATTTGGGGCAACGTGTATGGAAATGGCTTTCCAGAGTGATGTTTCGTAACTTCTATTTTCATAAAGATATTTGGATAATTAATAATACTAATTTTAAAAACAGGTTAAAAAAAATTCATGTTCCTGGAGGTGTCACCTGGAGACCTTAAAAATGCAAAAATATCTTCCCACTATTAAAGGATTGTTCTCATACCACTCAAACACAGTAATAAGGAAACAGGTCATACATTGCCTTCTAGTTCATGGGCACACAATATGTAACAAATTTGCTAAGTTACCATTCCTTTCTATAAAAGATTTGCAAGCAACTTTTACAAAACACTTAAGGGTTCGTGCTTATTTTAATTTTGTTCTAACCTATTGAAAGATGATTAGGAAATGTCAGTAAGCTTTTTTGGTTTTTTCCTCCCTTTCATTCTTTGGAATATATATATATATATGGAATTTGAAGGTTATGCATGATTAATAACCTTGAATGGAACGGAACACCAATCAATGAAAACAACACAATGCTAATAGCTGAGCTTAATCACTCTTTTGGAAATAGGTAAGAAGCAGGAAGTGATTTCCTGACCGCATGTCAAAATTTCCAAGGACCTTGCATATGATGCAACCCACATCATCAGCAGTGCATTCCTCTAATTACATGGAAGAGAGCAGTTTGCTGTTGCTAGTATTTGCAATGGTGAAAGCACTTTTTCCAAGTGTGTGTATGGGGAAGGGAAGACATATTTCTTCCTGGCACCCACATCTGGAGATCCACATATTCTTCAGGTGACAGCCAACGATATGAACCAGCCCTCGGAGTTTATGAAACTGTAACGCTCGCTAACACAAGAAGGGCTGATCACCCACCAGCACCCAAGAAAACAATTCATGCAATCCAGACCAATATGTACCACAATAAGGGAAGAAGTGTGCTAGAAGAAATAGATTCATGCAATTCAAGAAACTGAATTGATCATATCCATATTTCTGTTCACTACTTACAAGTGATGAATGTATACTAAGGTCTGTATACTAAGGCTGTCACTGCTCAAGTGATAGTACTAAAGTATAACAGTACTAATGAACAAAATAACTAATAATAAAAGAGAATCGTTTGGATCTCATTGAATTTGCAAAAAAAGAAAAGAAAAAAAACCCTGCATTGGCCAGATTGGAGGAAAGAGTACTGAACATACACTTCCTCTGCTGCCTTTTGCTCACACTTAATGCAACAAGTGATAAATATCGCCAATTACAAACAGAAGCCTTCACTGCACACCCACACAACCGAAAAATCACAATAGGATGAAAAAGCATAGACAAGTGACGATAATGCTAGCTCATTGATGAAATATAGCAGCAATTATAGGCATGATTCAGAAGCAGTTGGAGCTTGTTGTGTTGAATACCCTTGCGTCACTTTGAATTCTAAGAGGGTTCTCAGCAACTGCCTGAATGACGTTGACTAGTTTTGCCAATATTTTATACTCTTCCTTGTACATTCCTCCAACTAGTCAAGTCAAATCCTTATTACGGCCATAGGCCAGCATATGGTAAAAGCATTTACATACATAAACAGAGCATGCTAAATAGGTGACAGGGCAACTGTCAAAATAGGGGGTGCCCTTACGCATTCTCTCAATTATGATAGACAATGATAAGATAAAAACACATAAGGCACATAAATCATACAAAACATAAAATTTTAAGATGTAAATTTTCAGTTTTAGACCTGCTGCATGGTACATACTTTCCTCTGATGGATGCCAATCATAGCAGCATAACTAAATTCAGAAAAAGATTTCCCTGAAATAATCTCTTATTTTCCCCTTAGATGTAACACTAACCAGCTGATTTTCCACTGCTAGTCTTTAGGGGCCTTTTAATATTAAAAAAAGAAGGGTGGTCACTAAAGCAGTCAATAGGGAGGAGCTAGATCTCATTGTTGACACAACTAGCGGCAAATGAACTCTGCCGGGGATCAAGTGTATGCACATAATGGGAAGAAGCCTCACGGCAGAATTGCTTCATAAAGCAACCTTCAGGCCTTGATCACACAACAGTATTCATCCCATAGTATTTAATTCTTCTGCAAGGTATTATTCTAAATGTTGCATATAAAATGTTACAGTGACTCAAGGTTTCCTTGACTAAGGAAAGCCCTCAAATATTGAGCGAATGAATGCAAAGACTCTTTACCAGCACCGTGCTCTAACCGACAGAGCTACCCAGCTGATGGCCGTGTTGCACTTGCAATGAGGAAGGCTCAGACACCAATTGGCTCAGCTGCTGCGAAGGCTTGGAATGTCCACAAACATGCCAAGCGCTAGTGAACAAAGCTGTCAGAATGTTCGCAATCCAATTCTGCACCCACACACAGTGAAGCAAATCGTGCAGGAACAATGAATTCAATAAGGCTGGCATGGGTTTAATGTTGGCCGCTTTACTGTTTACAGCTTACCAGAGTTTGGCATGGCACAGGGCAACCGTCCCATTATCAGGCAGCTCGGTTGCTGAACAATGGCACCCTCCCAGTTAAGAGCGCTGGATCAATATTCAGGGAGCCACCATGGGCTCTCCAAGCAACATAGGAGTGTAGCAACCGTACCAGCCCCCTAAGCTGGGACTGAGGCCATAGTGTGAAACCCCCAGACCTCCTATGGGCATCTCTCAAGCAGAAAACAGATTCCTCCTCCCCACTTACCCCAACTATGGATCCTGCCCAATGCTCACCCACTCCACTTGCAATGAAAGTTCTCCATCAGGACCAAATCCCAAAATTGCTATAGGGATAGCAGAACCCTCACAATTGCATTTGTGTGTAAAATTCCTTCCTGGCCCCAGCAACTGTTAGTTACCGTATTTTTCGCTCTATGATAAACGCACTTTCCCCGTCCTAAAAAGTGAGGGGAAATGTGTGTGCGTATATGGAGCGAATGCAAGCAGGAGGCTCTGCTCAGCGCTCCCTTTAAAGAGCCACATGGACTGTGTGTGCAGCTATTGGGGGCTTTTCCCTGAGGAGGGAGAAGGTCTGCCCTTCTCCCTCCTTGGGGAAAAGCCCCCGAGAGCCGCACACACGCTCCGCACGCTCTTTAAAGGGAGCGCGGCTCTTGGGGGAGCCTTCTGCCTTAGCCATGCGCAGCCTGTTCCGGGCAGGGGGAGCCTTCATCCTCCTGCCCGGGAGAGGCTGCGCGCGGCTATCCCATAAGCTAGAACAGCAAGAGGCTATCCCAGAAGCCAGATCCCTCTTGCTGTTCTGCCTTCTGGGATTCAGAATATTTTTTTTTTCTTGTTTCCTCCTCCAAAAACTAGGTGCGTCTTGTGGTCTGATGCATCTTATGGAGCGAAAAATACGGTGATTTCTGACCATAGCAATGACAATAGTAAGATATGGAGGGTGAATAGGGAAGTTACTGACAGCAATGTCAAAGCTGCAGTTTTCACCCCCATTTGCAGCCCAAAGTTCTCTCCTCACGAGTTCCAATTTGGATGACACACGAAACCAAAACTTGGCTGAGGGTTTTTCTACACTTACCTTTTCTCAGGCAGAGCTTTAATACTCTATGTCTAAGTGGTTCCCCCCGCCCCAAACTTTGCCCTATGAAGAACCACTCTTTGAAACTCAATCAGTTCGGGTTTTCCATGGATTGATGTTTGCTCCGACTGAGCTTTAAAGAGCAGGTTTTTGCAGGTAAAGCTCCAGAGCCAAAAAAAAAAAAAAAGGGTGTTCAGACACAGAGCTTTAAATGGTGGACCATGCCTGGAAAGAGCAGAAGAAAGGTAAGGGTGGACAAGTCCTTTGTTTCATGCCTGGCATCAAAAAGGATCAGGAAGGAGTGATGCAGCTGTGAGCTCCTCTTTAGGAGCCTGCACAGCCCACTGTCTAGCCAGCTTTTCTCATAAACAAAGCCGAGGTTGGTGTGAGTTCAAGTGACATTAACCTGACTGAATTAATGGTTCTCTGCAAAGAGGTCCTGAGGATAGGTCACTGCAAAAGAATAAAGTTTGGCATTGCTAAAATGATTCATATTGGTCAAATACAATGAAGCATCAAGGAAACTGGGTAAACGTATAATATTTCATAGACGGGTGTGAGTAATGTGCGTAGAATAATAAAATATTAAGAGTTGGAAGGGACCCAAGCGTCATCTAGTCCAACCCTCTCCAATGTTACATGTTTTTAGGTCTTTGCTGCTAATAACAAACACTCATATCAACATGTCCCGTATAAGAAGAGGACTGTGATACTTTGAATGAAGGCACTTTATATTATTGAGATTCAGCTGTAGTCTGTGGGCAGAACTACCCGAGTTGTTAAACAGTGTTGCAGTTTCCCAAACCTAATCCAAATAAAACTTTGATGAACATAATATTATACTGGAAGTCTTAACAGGTTTAAAAAGAAAGCTTAGCAAATTTGGTCAAATGGCTACTCAAAGCACCTCTGGGAACTTGGATATACTGCAGAAAATTGGGAAACGGAAATCCAATCAACATCCCCAAAGGGATTAATTCTATCTAAGCCACTGAAAATTTAACACATAAAAATATCCATCTAGTTTAAAGGGGAGAAAGAAAAACATTTTAGAAATATTTTAAATCTTATTACCCGGACAGAAACCTCTAAAGCTTCAGCTATGGTGTCAAAATAAGGGAATTAAATTATCAAAACTTTGTTTACTTTCTGTGAAACAATCTGTCTCGTATTAAACAAGCTAACTGCATCAAAGCATCTATAATGCTGAGATTTAAAGTGTAAGAAACATACAGAAAGAAACTTAGGTAATCCACAACATTCCATTTCTATGTGAAATAACCCGTATCATCACTAACTGTGCGTTGCTCTTCTAAATATATCAGATCAAGCATCAATCCAACTGCAAAGCACACACTGCAAAAAGTCCTTTAACAAAGTTACAGAGAGGCAATCAGGAAAAAGTATTGCCACCCAATACTTAACATGGTCAAGTAAAGTACATTCTAGGTTGCAAAAGAGGCATCTGTAATGCACTGCTATAATGACTACAGTTTGAATTGCAGTAAAAAATTAAATTTTCAAGCCAAATTCTGTAAATTGTAACATATGGTGGTATGGCAAAGATAGGGCAAAGATACAAGAACAAAACATAAGTATAAGCATTGCAAATATGAACTTCCCTTAAAATATGCACAAGTAGTAATGGGGAAGGACGGGGCCCCATTCACAAGCATTTTACAAAGAAAAAGCAGTGATGTATGCATGCATGTACCATTCATTACTGGTGCAATTTGCATGTGTTCTGTACTTTTCAGAACGTAAGAAGAGCCTACTGAATCAGGCCAATAGCCCATCTAATCCAGGATCCTGTTCTCACTATTGCCAGCAAGATCCCTGTGGGAAGCCTGCAAGCTAGACATGAGCGCAGCAGCCCTTTGCCAACCTGTGATTCCCACCAACTGGTGCCTCTTACAGGGAGGGGAGAACATGGCCAGTGGCAGAGGGACCCTCTCAGTCATCCACGGCGGGTCGAACCACCTAGTGATGCACGCGTGATGTCCTCACAGACTGTGCACATGCAGCAGCCTGTACAGTCGCCACATGAGAGGCAGCCCATACGGACATCCGTACAGATGCCACACATGAGCGGCAGCCCGTACAGATGCCCATACAGTTGCCACGCGAGCGGCGGCCCGTACGGACGCCACGCGCAAGCGGCAGCCCATATGGACGCTGCGTGCGAGGAGCCCGTACAGACGCCCGTATGGACTCTGTGCGCGAGCAGCAGCCCATGCGGACTGCGCAAGCGTGGCAGCCTGTACGGTTGCTGTGCGAGCAGTGCAAGTGGCGCCCACACTGACTGTGCTTGTGTGCCCTCTGCCGCTCTGTGGGGAGGCAGCGAGCCATCTTGTCACCCCCCAGGCAGTACCCGGGGCGGCAAGCTGCCTGCGCCCGCCCTTCATACGCCACTGAACACAGCCATTGTGGCTAGTAGCCATTGTCCTCTATGGATTTGTCTAATTCTTTTTAAAAAACCATTCAAGCTGGTGGCCATCACTGCCTTCTGAGGGAGCTGATTCCATAGTTAAACTATACACTGCTTTGTCTGTCCTGACCATTTGACTCGGTTGCCCCAGCCACTCTGGGTGGCTTCCAGCATATATGAAAGCATAATAAAACATTAAACCTTAAAAAGCTTCCCTATACCCGGCTGCCTTCAGATGTCTTCAAAAGGCTGTATAGTTATTTATCTCCTTGACATCTGATGGGAGGGCGTTCCACAGGGCGGGCGCCACCACCGAGAAGGCCCTCTGCCTGGTTCCCTGTAGCTTCACTTCTCCCAGGGTGGGAACTACCAGAAGGTCCTCAGGGTGCGGGCTTAATGACAGGGGCCAGGTATACAGGGCCGAGGCCATTTAGGGCTTTAAAAGTCAGCCCCAACACTTTTAATTGTGCTCGGAAACATACTGGGAGCCAATGTAGGTCTTTCAGGACTGGTGTTATGTGGTCGCGGTGGCTGTTCCCAGTCACTAGTCTACCTGCTGCATTCTGGATTAATTGTACTTTCCAGGTCACCTTCAAAGGTAGCCCCTTCTATCTTACTCTCGTTTTCTCTAAACTAAAAAGCCTCTGGTCCTGTAAACCTTCCTCAGAGGAGAGTTGCTCCATCTTCTTGATAATTTTGTTTGTCCTTTTCTGAACATTTTCCAATTCCATGACATCCTTTTGAAGGTGAGGTGACCAGAATGGCACAGAGTGTTCCAAGTGTGGTCACGCCATAGATTTGTATAATGGCACTGTGATATTGGCAGTTTTATTTTCAGTTCCTTCCCCAATGATCCCTAGCATGGAATTTGCCTTTTTCACAGCTGCCACACACTGGACTGACATCTTCGTCCAACTGCCAATGTGTATATGTGAAGATTCTTTTGCCTGACATGCATCACTTTGTACATTGTTACAACACTGAGTTAGTTTTGTCATTTTACCATTCATTCAGTGTGGAGAGGACCTTTGGTACTTATTCACAATCCCTTTTCATTTTAATGACCCTGAACAACTTAGTATCATCAGCAAACATGGACACCTCACTGCTCAACCCTAACTCTAGATTATTTGTGAAAAATGTGTAAAAGCATAGGTACCAATCCTTGGGGAAGACTTCACTTTCTACATCTATTGGGAGAAATGTCCATATATTCCTACTGTATGCTCTTGTTACTTGACCAGTTTCTGAGCCACTAGAAGACTCTGCCTGTTATTTCCAAGACTACTAAACTTACACAGGAATTTTCAGTAAGGTACTTTGTCGAAAGTTTTTTGAAAGTCTAAGGGCTTTTCTATACTTCTGCTTGTTCTGTGCACAGAAAGCGCAAGTCTGAGCAGTTCCCCCTTGCTCCAATCCTTTCCCAGGGAAAACCTGTTCTTTAGCTTTAAATCGGAATAAAGAGCAATCCTCAGAAAAATAGACTGCCATTTGCTCCAATTGAACACTAAAGAGTGGTTACCCCTAGGGGAAAGAGGAAGTGTGAATAAGCCGTAAGTATACTATGTCAACTGGATGACCTCTATCAATACACTTGCCAACATTCTCAGAGAACTCTAATAGGCTAGTGAGACAGGACTTACTCTTGCAGAAGCCATGCTGGTTCTGCTTCAGCAAGGCTTGTTCTTCTTTATTATTTGGTGATTCTTCTCTTTAACAATACCTTTGACCTGTTTCCCCAGGACAGATATTAAGGTAACAAGCCTGTAATTTCCAGGATCCCTCCCTCACCCAATCCTAATAATAATAATAATAATAATAATAATAATAATGTGTTACATTGGCTACTTTCCAGTTCTCATGTATGGAGGATGGTCTTACGGAGATGTTACATTTTCTTTTATAAAATCAGCAATTTCACATTTGAGTTAATTTGAGTATTCTCAGGTGAATGCCATCCAAACCCAGCGACTTGTGGATCTGAACATAACAAATGCAGGCATCAGCGGTAGGTCCAGAGGGCATTTCAAATTCCCATTATACCTGCCTGTCTGCTAGAGATCTTAATGGGAACTAGGCCAAGAAACACCGTTTATCTTTTGAATGGGAGGAAAAGCAACCACACTGGAAAACAGTCATATTCTGCATGTGCAAGTGAGGAATACTAAAGCAGCATAACCAACTGAAGCATATGGCTGCTGTCTTCTCAAATGCTGAACCCAGTAAGATCAAGAGGGAATTTGGAGACACCTCACTAAGGCAAGACCTAGCGTCAGATTCTGTAACATCATTCCTGCCCATCTTTAGAACTGAACATGGGTGATCCATAAACAGTTCTAACATTTCAATTTTTCCTTAAAAACTGATGTGGTGGACTTTGAATTGGACACTAGGGGAAAGTGGACATTTAACTATTTCCCCCATCACATACAGAGTTATGCTTCTTCACACTGCTCCAGGAAGGATAAACAGCAGCTATTTAGGTAGAGCGTGCAGCCGATGCATATTTAGACCGAAATGTGTATCCTCAGATAAGTGTGCATTGGATTGCAGTCCTGTAGATAGAAACCAGTGCAGGAGAAAGTTAACCCTCCTCCTCCTTCTCCAGTCCAGTTTGCCCCCATGGCTACTATTAAATAAGATAATGAAAATTTAGGGCGACCCAATCATGGATTGTCATGTAGGGTGCCCTTATTTACAATTTCCCAATTTCGGTCTTACCCCAACAACAGCTGACTCAGATTTCTAGAACTAGAACTCAGAGCATCTGTCTATCAGAGTAAATGAAAGAATATTATGTCAGTTGCTTACCTACCATTTATGTTATGTCCATCAAACCTCCTTACACGATTTTTCCCAGCTAATGCTTTATTGACCTCTTTTCCTTTCATGCAGCTGTTTGTGTACACGACCAATTTACTGTCTTAAAGCACAGAGGACTGATATTGTAGGGATTATCATCTGTACTTGCTGCCTTGAGGCTAATGAAGGTTTCTGAAAACAGGCTCAGAAGTGAATTTCAAGTGCCCGTTAAAGCTCACCTCAAATGAGACGAGGCGGTTACAAATACCAAAATTCTTCTACAGCTAGGGTGAGGATCTGAGCCATGAAAAGAACACATGGCTTCTGGACTACCCATCCCCACCACAACCCCTCCACACCTCAAACCCCAAATACATCTCCTGCCCTTTATTTACTAGCCATGTGGCAGTGAATGGAGTAGCAGCAATGATACACAGGGAGAGAAAAGGGAGGGTGCTCGCTCGTTTTGCCCTTCATCATCATGTGCTTATTAGCAGCATACAGGGTGCAAAAACCTGGGGGACAATGGATTAATGACATCTGCTGTAGTTACCCAGGCTTTTGCACCCTGACACACGGCTAATTGGCATATCAGAATGACAGACAAGAAGGAAAGGCAAGAAAAGGGAAGAAGGTAATACTGTATTTTTTCGTGTATAACACACCCCCATGTATAAAGGTAAAGGTAAAGGGACCCCTGACTATTAGGTCCAGTCGTGACCGACTTTGGGGTTGCGGCGCTCATCTCGCTTTACTGGCCGAGGGAGCCAGTGTACAGCTTCCGGGTCATGTGGCCAGCATGACTAAGCCACTTCTGGTGAACCAGAGCAGCACACGGAAATGCCGTTTGCCGCCGTTTACCTTCTCGCCGGAGCGGTACCTATTTATCTACTTGCACTGGTGTGCTTTCGAACTGCTAGGTTAGCAGGAGCAGGGACCGAGCAACGGGTGCTCACCCCGTCGCGGGGATTCAAACCGTCGACCTTCTGATCGGCAAGCCCTAGGCTCTGTGGTTTAACCCACAGCGCCACCCGCATCCCATAAAATGTATAAAATAGACACCCCCTGTTTTGGGGAATTCAAAATTAAGAACATGGGGGAAGATTGCGCAGAGTTGTTGAGCCTTTTTTAAGGGGGAATTGCCAACCAATCCCACGTCCCTCCTATGCACTATCCATGTATAAGACGTCCCCACATTTTAAACATAATATTTTAATTTAAAAAACCCTCGTCTTCTATACAGAAAACTACGGTATGTTTGGGGCCTGCAATGACTGGCAGGATATTTTTTTCCTGAGTTGAGATCTTCTATGTCTATATAGGGTACACAGAACCTGCCACTCGCCAACGTGAGCAGAGATCACCAGCCATGTACTGAGGACTACCAGGTGTTTGAGAAATCCTTCCCTTGGATATGGCAATCTCAAGCAGGCAATAAAACTAATTTAGTGGGTGACTGAGTTGGCTACACAAACTGAGAGAGAGAGTGACATGCCCTGGCTCAGGGAGTAGATTTTGGGTCACCATTCAAAGGATAGCAGATTGTCTTTCTTTTGAGGGAGGGTATTAATATACAGTGGTGCCTCGCAAGACGAAATTAATTCATTCCGCGAGTTCTTTCGTCTAGCGAATTTTTCGTTTTGCGAAGCACGGTGTCGGAAAAGTTTTGGAAAAGCTTCAAAAATCACCAAAAACCTCAAAAAAGGCTACCACACCGCGTTCTATGAGTTGCTCCTCAAAGTCAAGTCGCAACTGTATTAACGGTGTTAAGAAAAGGAAACAAACTTGCAAAAAACGCAAGACGTTTTCGTCTTGCGAAGCAAGCCCATAGGGAAATTCGTCTTGCGAAGCAGCTCAAAAACCGCAAAACCCTTTCGTCTAGCGAGTTTTTCGTCTTGCGAGGCATTCATCTTGCAGGGCACCACTGTATTGTATCACCACTGGGGTTTCAGGGTGTGGAAACAGTTGGATTTCCTGCCTCAGACACCAAAATGTCTAGCGCTCTCTCTAGTAGGCTGCCAGGCTAGTACTTTTGACCAATGGCAGATGATATGGCATTGAACTCCAGGCAGTTCTGTCGCTTCTGCTTACTGGAAGGGAAAAGGAAAGGTGTGAGGAAGTGGGGAGTTTGGTACAGTGCAAATGCACTTGTGGGAATGCACAGGGTATGTGCACTGCGCTGACTTTGATGCCACCTCTGCTTCCAGGTAAACAGCAGTGGTGCAACCAACCAGAAGTCAGGTGAGCTGCATTGCACTCCACAATGTTGTCTGCTACTGCTTTCAACTTAGTGGTTCAGAAATATGAAGACCTGATTTATACCTTTGCCACCACCCCCTTCCAAAACACAATATATGAAAGTGGTTTTATGTATAACTCACTGCTTTCATTGTACAGCAGGTTGCAAATGGCAATAGTGCTCCTATGTTAGGGGGAATAAAATAATTAATGGAGCTTTTTCCAAATTATTATAACTATATACCTTGGGATTTACTAATTATTGCATCTACTGAATACAAACAATCTCACGTGTATTCTAATTCAGCAAAGAATACACAAAAGTAATCCTACACTTACAACTCAGAGACTCCTTGGGCTTTAATAATGCATGACATTGAAATGGCACCTCTTGATTGAAGGAACATTTGAATTTGTCATTGAATCCTTATCTAATTTTAACAGATTTCTCTTGTTTAAATGCCCTAGGAATGAGTGATAAGGCTGACAGTGGAGAATTATTACACTCTACCTTCATAAAGCAAAACTGGCACTTTCAAGTGACAGATTTTTTAAAAAATCATTGTTGTTATTATTTTGCATTAGCAAGCAAGAAGCTGAAAATGTTTATCTCATTTTAAAGCAGCTATGCTATTCAAAATACGGAACCATATTAAAATATTGGATCTTGTGTGATGTTGAGGAGAACACTGCAGTGAAATGGAAGCATTTTCACACTAAATAAGTTTGTAATGCTTGGTGTAGATTGCGGTCCCAGTCGCAGTGCCACCCTCCCCATGCAGGGGCTATAGCTAAGGTGTGACGAACAAACTCAAGCAGACAATGATCTGCGATAGGAGTGGCCACAACTTTATTGATTCCAGATGTAGGTGGATTTTGGCTCAGGCTGGCAGACCAGAGTGGGAGCAGCCAACTCACAGCCTCCAGTGAGAATCTTTTAAATTAAAGATATTTGCAGACAGTCCTGACTTGCAGCAGGACAGGGCAGAAAGATTCTCAATGGCCGACCATGCCTGCTTGTCCCAGCTGCCGGGGATGGTGGCTAATCACAAGGGGCCCCAACCACTGCCCACCCAGGAAAGCAGGTAAGCAGTCATTCCTACTCTCTCACATCTTGTTCACATCATGCCTGATTTTTGAAAGCTGTTGTGAGTCAAACTACAGAAATTGAAGTATGCTTTGATTATAGTCCAGGGTCTCTCTAAGCAGCTCACATAAAGTAAAACATACTGGCCTGTTTTGTGCATCAGAATAAGCCAGTTTGTCCTAAATCATGGTTTAATTGTGAATATTGCGGTACAGAGACCCCACATGGTTTCTTTCCCTCATGCAGCTCTAACAAGTCATAGACTGTCCTGTCATGTTGTGTGTGTCCCCACTCCCCAAATCGCCCTCACAAACTGGTGCCTCTGACCCTAACTGTTCCCCTACAAAAAATTTCACTACACACCACCGATCTGTTGCCTCCCTCCACGATGGGTACCTTTGTCTGACAATAAGATGTCCTGAGTGGTTGGGCCTTTGAGAATGTGACATGGGTCTTTTCAGTAGAAACTCATCATCTGAAGTCACCAGGTATGACTGCTATTTGACTTACACTCTAGTCCCGCACCCTGCAGCACAAGCGCTCTGGCAAAGTCACAGTGTGGCTTGGTGAGGTCATGCAGGTAACTTTTTGAAGTGAGGAGAAGATGGAGAATGGGGAGGGCATGAGATTTTTCCACTGCATCCCAAATGCCCATCCTCCTAGTACCAGCACAGTGAAGTGAAATCTCTCATAAGGAGATTTCAGCTGCTCTTTAGAAGCAACAGAACAAGGAGCTGGTCATGGTACCAATTTAGCTGTTGCAGCTCAAGCTTCTGCAACAGAAGGAATGGCAGAGAACAAGTCCCAATGTCTGAAATGCTACTTTGTGTACAAAAAAGTGATTTTGCTCTGGCTAGTAAAGGCGAATGGTACAGTGGTACCTCGCAAGATGAATGCCTCGCAAGACGGAAAACTCGCAAAACGAAAGGGTTTTTGGTTTTGTGAGTTGCTTCGCAAGACGATTTTCCCTATGGGCTTGCTTCGCAAGACGGAAACGTCTTGCAAGTTTGTTTCCTTTTTCTTAAAACCGTTAATACAGTTGCGACTTGACTTCAAGGAGCAACTCATAGCACGCGGTGTGGTAGCCTTTTTTGAGGTTTTTGAAGACTTTGGTGATTTTTGAAGCTTTTCCAAAACTTTTCAGACACCGTGCTTCGCAAGACGAAAAAACTGCAAGACGAAAAAACTCGCGGAACGAATTAATTTCGTCTTGCGAGGCACCACTGTAGAACGTCCTTGTAGTTGCCTGCTACTGCGAAAGAAGCTGGGATACACTGAGCCAGTTTCTTCTCCATTCCAGTCCTGTTAATTCTTAACTACAGTTACGTGATGGCAGCAATCCTTCTACATTTCAGGAGATAAAAGTGAGTGCGATACAGATGTTACTACTGGGTGTGTTCAGAGAATTCTTATCCATCAATGATCAGCAGCAAAAGATGAACTCAGATTGCAGGAGAGGAACTAGTGTTCCAAAGTGGAAACCGATGCAAGCCTTGAGCAGTGATGAAGTGATAAGAAGTGAAGAGATGAAGAGAGATTAATAGTATTGGAGGCTGGTAAAGCAATTCAGGTCTTGTGATAAATGTCTTAGATGGACACGTCTAAGGAGCTCATTTTTAACTTGAGGGTCTGGGAAAATGGATAATCCTAGCATGAATGATCACTTGAGTGAAGATATAAAAATCATACCTAATTTTTCACCTGTGTTGTTTACATAAAGTGCACTTTTTAAGTAAAAGCAACTCTCCCTCCATGTCTGGCTGATTTGGTTCCTCTTAGCAAGATTAGGGCAATGTTGTTCACACACACACACACACACACACATTTCAGTGTAATCAAAGATTGCACTATACACCCAAAGAACTACCTGCACATGTAAAAGCACACATGTATCTAAAAATGTAACACATGAATTTTATAAACACATGTTTTCAAGTATGTGTATCATAGGGATACACACATCGCGAGGGTGTTTGCTGTCAGCATATGAATGAAGCTGTAGAGAAAACATTATGGTTGAGTAGGAGGCACAAGCTCTTGTTCAAATTTTCTCTTTTTCCTTTAATCATCCTCTTTTCTATCACTGCAAGATTGAACAGTATAGATCGATGAAAAAATAAAGCCTATTTTTATTACCTTTACACTGAAATTCCCTCCCAAATGATCTCGCTTTCATCTATCATCCTCTAGGGCACAGATTCCTAAGACTTGGGACAAGGATGTTAGATCAACCGATTTGTGAAAGCAGGTTAGTATTTTCTTAAAGCAGAAAACAAAGTTGCTGTTCAATTCCATTTTATTGTTCAGAAACAGCTACCATATCCGCCTATAATTGGTAGGGAATACATTTTGCATTGAAAAACATTTGCCACTTAATTGTTGAGTTTATTTATTTATTTATTTTCTCTCCTATAAATAAGAAACTTGGTTCAAGGGCACCATTTTTTTATTTATTAAAAAATTATGCACATTTGCCAAAAATAGAACCACAACAGCGTTATCTGTTTTCTCCTCTCCATCATGTATTCATATATATTCTTAAATGAAAAAGCTTTATCTGAAATATCTGCTTTCATTAGGGCAGCAATTTTCTTTGTGTAGCTTCCACACCCACAAAATGGTTGTAGCCACAGTAACCAGTTCATATTAAATGGTTTTGTGCTGTTGTGTACCCAAGTCTATGATCACATGGCAAAATAAGTGCTGCCTAGTTGTATTAACTTAGTTTAGTTGTGGCCCTAAGTGACTCTTCAATGATCCAAGTATCTCTTTGCATAGAGCATCATGTTACTTCCTCCCCGCTCAGCTTTTGATACCCTATAATAGGATAATGTGTACATGTGTGTTGGAAAGGGGAAGGGGATGTAACGTGGATACAGTTTAATGTGAATTGATTTGTGTGAGCTAGAATTTGGAGGCGTGATGGTCATGGTCCTACTTGCATGGGTCACTTTCAAACAGGTGATAAATTGCATATCTCCAAAAAGAAGGAAACGCAACACACACACCCCATGGATTTGAATAAGCTGATTTGTAGTAATTATTTCTAAATATAATGTGAATAAAAGCAGAATGCATCACATTATACAGTGGTACCTCTGGTTATGAACTTACCGTATTTTTCCGTGTATAAGACTAGGTTTTTTCCTTTAAAAAATAATGTCAAAATTTTGGGGGCGTCTTATACATGGATACATCTCCTCCCATTTTCTTAAATCTGAGTCCCCCAAAATAGGGGGCGTCTTATACATGGAGGCATCTTATAGATGGAAAAATACGGTAATATGTTTTGGAGGTCTGTTCGTAAGCCAAAACCATTCTTAACGTGAGGTGCGCTTTCGCTATTGGGGCCTCCCGCTGCTGCCGCGCCATCGGTGCGCAACTTCCGCTCGCATCCCGGGGCAAAGTTCGCAGCTAGGAGCATCTACTTCTGGGTTAGCAGAGCTCATTACCCAAAGCATTCGGAAGGAGGATGGTACGTAACCCAAAGTTCCACTGTAGTGGGAAAGCTGTGATGAAATGACCTCTGTGCCAGCTAAGTCCATTGTCCAAGTACTAACTGTTCATGTGCAACTTCAGGACAACTTCTCTCTCTTTTTGTGGTTCTTTATCTTTAAAGTAGACTTGCATCAAATAGCACTTCAAACAGAAAGGTGCCTTCAAATGGAGAACTGTCCTCTGTAAAGTAGGCCATTTCTCCATCTATTGCTTGGGGTCTTCTGCTCAGCCCCACAGTCCCATGGCATCTTCTCCCATCTTGCCTCCTTTGTTTTTTCTATAGCAGATGTCAAATGAACACCCGGCTCTATGATCTGTTTTCATCTAAATTAGGTGAGGCAGTAAGTGAAGTGATCAACAGGTACTTAGACTCAAAAATGGGAAAGATGAAGGCCAGTAAAGTGAAATTCAATCCTGGGAAGATTATGCTTCTGTGAGTGGAAAGTTTCCTAGTTTAGGGGGACGGTTTTCAGTGTGCCTGCAGAGGCACAGGGTCTCAATCTCTCCAAAAGATTAGCTGCACAGCCTGTGCCTGCTCCAAAATCCAGCTTTATCACAAGAGGCCAATGACTTTGGCAGCATAGAGCATCTTCTGCCAGCTTAAGCTGCTATGTTTTCTGGCTACCTATGGCACCCAGGCTCTGAACCTATCTGAACTACTACCAAGTGTTACTCATGGTGCTGCCTTTGAAGACTGTTCAGAAATTACAGCAGTTAGTGCAAAAAGTGGCACCAGATTGCTCAAATGAATCACACATTGGGACCATATCTCTCCAGTAATAAGAGCTTCACAGTCTACCAGTCAATTTCTGGGATTAATTGAAACTGCTGGCTTGCCTAAAAAAAGTCCTCAGTGGTTTGGGACCTGGGTACCTAAGGGATGCCTGTTCCCCTAACAACTGGCCAGTAAACTGAGGGTATCTACCTATACCTTTCACAGAGTGTTCCTACTATGAGCAGTGAGATGGGTTGCATTGAATAAAAGGACATTTGCAGCTGTTACCCCATCCGCAATATCCTCTTTCCAGTGAGTTTTGAGTATCGTCTTCATTTCTGATCTATTTAGGAATCACCTTTTACATGCGTGTCAACCAATTTATAAACATATAATAACTAAAAAATGGTTTACAGAGAGGAAAAAAATAACTGAAGATAAGTTTAAAAACGAAAGGCGTATTTTCACCCAGCCAGAAAAGGCTTGTCAAATAAAAAAAACAAAACAATTTTATTCAATTGTTTCTGGAAAGTACAGATAGGAATGCTTCTCCACAAAATGGGGCAACCACAAAGAAAGCCCTGCTTAGAGTTACATTGGAGCAGGTTTCTGATAATTCTCCCATAGCATTCTGTGAGCTACTAAGTATATACGGGATAAGGCAATTTATCAAGTATCCCAGACCTGAGCTGTCTAGGGCCTTATGTGTTGATACCAACACCTTGAACTTGACCAAGTAGCCAGTGCAAATCCTGAAAACAAGGTGTTATATGGTGGGTGAAGTTTGCCACACACACACACACCAGCAATTTAGCACCATATTCTACACTAGCAGCAGTCTCTATACCAACCTAAAGGGTAGCCCCACAAAGTTGTCGCTTAGGCACAAGTAAAGACTTTTTCATTCGTCAAGTGTTTCCGTTATGTTGACTAATTTCAACTGGACTCTATTCTGCTGTTTTGGTGTAGTTGTGGAAGTTTGATTCTATATTATGCAACTGTAAACTGCCCTGAAACCAATCAACAAAGAATGACATAAAAAATGAACAAATGGATAAATAAAACATGTAGGGCAATTAGTGACCTACCAGGAGGTACATATCCAACCAGCCAAATTTGTTGGCTTACTGGCGCTCAGTAAATGTCCTTTTGTTTTGCTGCCTGTTTCAATCTACAGCACAAGGGCAGTCAAACACCTGGCAGAGCAAACAGGCTGCATTCATCTTAATTGGTTCGAAGTTGCGGAGGTGCAATGCAGAGGATCCCTGCCAAAGGGCTGGATTATGTGTACTTTATACGCCATTTAACCATATTGTTCTAAACAACAATAATTATAGAGCCCCTTGCTATCATTACAAAACACGAACCTTCTGCTCTATTTTGCAGCTAACCCGTCATATCTACATAAGTAGAGGATCTTCATCGCTGGGTCAACGCAACAATCCAAATAGACACTTGCCCTACTTGCATGTTCCATTTGCAATGAGAACCCACCTTTGCAGACTTCCTAGCCCAAATATGACGGCAGGCAATAGTTGCAACAAGAAATTCTATCAGGCCTTCCTACTGTCAAGGGTTACAGACACTGTGTGAGTGAGATAAAATAAAATAGGCATACAGAATATTCAGCCAAGATAAGGTATTTTGATATATTTTAGAAACACTTGCCCTTCGTAGTGACAAGGCAGCCGAGAAATAATCTCAATCACAGAGGTTACAATATGCAATTCACGTTTTTCCTTTCACGAAATGAGCTTACCAACTTAGAATGCCAAAATAACTACTTATTCTCCCTTCTGCTGAAATTAATTTGTGTTTTTACTTTACAGGCAATCAATATACGCAAGTAGTGCCTTGCAGGTTTAAACAGTGCCTCTGCAGTCAGAAGCTGTTCTCTTCTATCACATTTACTTAAAACCTTAGGGAGATATTCGCACAACATTTGTTAAACCGAGTGCCATACCTCTAGGAGTTGTGGAAGCCCAGAAAAAGAACACTGAATCTCCAAGAGACTAATAGAAGAACTTTCAGACAAGATAAAATTGCTGAGAAATAGCCTTAGAAACAAAACGAAATGGGCTAATAAAGATTGCTAGCATCAGTGTCCTGGAACAGTTTTCATCATGAACAGTTCAAACAGTGCACTTTTTATACCAGAACAGCACTGTAGACATGGAGATCAACAATTTACTAATATAGGGTTGTTTACCACAGTGGTGGCGCTGGGTTCAGATGCCTCTAAAAGAACGAGGTGCATAAAATGAATCTCCCAGGATGGCTTCAACTCTGCTCTTAGCTGCGAAGGCACTAATGCAAAACACAAATGGAAGCACCTCAGAAAATGTTACCTTCTGTTTCAAGGGTTTAGAAGAACTCTCTCTGTTTTGATTCAACAATTGCAGTGCTGCCTATGCTCATTATATTGTGTTCACAGCAGCAGTTGCCACGGTATTGATTCGCCCAAGCATGTGATCTGGAGAGGATCGGTGCACTGATACAGTGCAGATCACTGCAAAACACTGGTCTCAGTTGAGTGTGATATAGATAGTATCAGATCTTGGTCTACACATGCTACAAAATAATGTGGTAATGATGAAGAAGAATCCTGAGGAACTAGAATGGACTGTAGCACTTCAGTCTACAGGTAAGGAATAGTACTTTTGAATGTAGGAGAATGCTTGTTCAGTTACCATATTTTTTGCTCTATAAGACTCACTTTTTCCCTCCTAAAAAGTAAGGGGAAATGTGTGTGCGTCTTATGGAGCGAATGCAGGCTGCGCAGCTATCCCAGAAGCCAGAACAGCAAGAGGGATTGCTGCTTTCACTGCGTAGCAATCCCTCTTGCTGTTCTGGCTTCTGAGATTCAGAATATTTTTTTTCTTGTTTTCCTCCTCCAAAAACTAGGTGCGTCTTGTGGTCTGGTGCGTCTTATAGAGCGAAAAATACGGTACTTTACCTATGCAAGTCTTATCAACGCAAACAAGGATTCCAGCTTAAAACCAAGACTTGGGAAATGCAAAGTTTCATTGTTGTAGTCTGCAAATTTTTGGTAATCTGTCCTATCATTCCAAACTACTAGCTTAAACTGCAAAGAACTAAAATGTAAAAAATAAATACAGAAGATATATCTCATCTTCCCTCCTTTTTCAACAGAGCTTTTTTGCTCTCTATTTTTAATGAGCTTTTGCTGCTTGGGCTGATGCAGGCTCAGATATATCATTTATTTCATACTGATAAATTAATATATTTACACTTAATAGCTACTGATCACAATGGTACAATAAGATACCAGCAGCTGGTACTTCCAGGAGGCTGAGGAAGGGACTTACAATCACTGCTCTCCCCAACATTTGCCTTTTTGTGCTGTCAGCCTCCTCTTGAGGAAAGATGTGGGAGCCATGCCAGGTGTCTCTCATCTACCCCTCCCATCCAAGCTGTATTTAAGCCAGGCTCCTTGGAGTGTGGGATGCGGGTGGCGCTGTGGGTTAAACCACAGAGCCTAGGACTTGCTGATCAGAAGGTCAGCGGTTCGAATCCCCATGACAGGGTGAGCTCCCGTTGCTGGGTCCCTGCTCCTGCCAACCTAGCAGTTCGAAAGCACGTCAAAGTGCAGGTAGATAAACAGGTACCACTCCGGCGGGAAGGTAAACGGCGTTTCCGTGTGCTGCTCTGGTTCGCCAGAAGCGGCTTAGTGATGCTGGCCAAGCTGTACGCCGGCTCCCTCGGCCAATAAAGCAAGATGAGCGCCGCAACCCCAGAGTCGGCCACGACTGGACCTAATGGTCAGGGGTCCCTTTACCTTTACCTACCTTGGAGTGTAGCAAGATTGGTACTGTTATTTTTGGTTAATTTTCATTTTTTTCTTTGTATTTATGTATTTAAGATTGGAGGTGGGGGTTTGTATGTAGTATTGCAATTATTCTGTGCTTGTAAATTGTCAGTTTTTGCTATTTTGAACTTACTAACATGCTTTTGTATATTTGTATTTCCAGTGTTCTCTATTTTGATGTTTTGAATGTTTGCTGTAAGCTACTTTAGGCACAGCTTGTTGTGGGAAGGTGGCTTATACATGAAATCAGTCAGTTAGTCAGTCAGTCAATCAATCAATCAATGGATCTGTGCAATCTCCAGTATACTAGTTGCCAGGGAACAACAACAGGACAGTGCTATTGCATTCATGTACTCCTTTTGAATTTCCAGAAGACAGTTGGCCATACCATTAGGGACAGCAAGTCATCTGGTTCAGGAGCCATGGGGATTTATAGATACAGTGGTACCTCAGGTTAAGTACTTAATTCGTTCTGGAGGTCCATTCTTAACCTGAAACTGTTCTTAACCTGAAGCACCACTTTAGCTAATGGGGCCTCTCGCTGCTGCCGCGCCACTGGAGCATGATTTCAGTTCTCATCCTGAAGCAAAGTTCTTAACCCGAGGTACTATTTCTGGGTTAGTGGAGTCTGTAACCTGAAGCGTCTGTAACCTGAAGCATCTGTAACCCGAGGTACCACTGTAGAATGCCATTTTGGATGTGAGAACTTGCTTTCAGAGGCTGCACACTCCTTCCTAATAAAACCACTTGCGTTGCAATAAAATTCCTTCTTGTCCAAAGTGTGGGTAACATCATTGCCCATGGCATCCTCCTGGACTGGCTCTGGGAAATGGTAATTGGGGCACTGTGTTATAGAGATTCCAATCCTACCTTCAGGACCAAGTCCACAGAGTAACATTGGGAGAGTGACACTGGTGGCTAATCTAGGGAGTGCTTCAGGGAACTATGTTAATATCTAATAGCTACTAATACTAATCATAATACTGTCCTTCATCCAAAGATCACAGGGTGGTTCACAACATGAAAAAACAAAACAAAATGAGAATTCAAATTCATAATGAAACAACAAGAAGACAAAAACCCTTCCTCTCACAAAGGCCATAGAATGTTCAGTCAGCCAAAGGCCTGGTTACAGAGATACATTTTTGCCTGGCGTCTAAAGATATGTCACAAAGGTGCCAGGCAAGCATCCCTGGGGTGAGCATTCTGCAAATGAGGAGCTGCCACAGAAAATGCCTGTTTTCATGTTTTTGTCCTCCAGGCCATTGGTGGAGAGGGCACATGAAGAAGGGCCTCAGATGATGACCACAGGGTCTGGATCAGCTCATATGGGGAGAGGCAATCCTTGAGGTATTGGTATTGATAATCTTAATTAAATATGTTGTGAATAAGATTTTAAAAATGGCTTGTTCACATTCATTAACTGAGGACATAAGAAGAGCCAGTTAGATCAGGCCAATGTCCTATCTAGTCCATCAAGGGCCAACCAAATGCCCACAGGATGTCTTCATCAGCAGTTGTTTACCCAAAACTTTAATTTGGGCTTCCTTCCATTGACACTGCATTTGCACCAAACCACATTTGATTTGGAAGTTTATTCAAAATTTTAGCCCACCCTTCGACAAACAACTTAAACATCAGCAACATAAAAATCACAAATTAAAAAGAACACAAAGGAGAGCAGCAACGGGGAACAAAAATGAAATAAAACCAATGAAGGCAGACTAGTGATGCAAAAGCTGGCTCTTTGAGCCCCCAGCCCCCAGACTCTTTATGTAAGGATCAGCACTCTGAATTTTGCCTAAAACCAGACTGGCTGTTAGTATAGAGAGAACTGCTATATTCTTTACTAGAATGAGAAATCTTCAAAGTCGGCCCCACGTACAATGCGTTATGGTTGTCTAACCTGGAGATTGCCAGTACATGCAGGGCCCATGCATTAATTTTGCTTCTTGTGCTCTGTAGAGACTGCCTACGCACATACTATGGGGCTATCCCAGACATGTGATATCAAGGGTCATGAAATAAAAAGTTTGTACATTAAGAACGGACCTCTGGAATGAATTAAGTTCTTAACCCGAGGTACCACTGCACTTTGGACACACCCTTGCTCTCCACATCACTCTGCTGGGAATCTCTTCCTACCCCGCATTGTGTGTTTGAGTATGTGACCCAGCGCTCTCTCTCTCTCTCTCTCTCTCTCTCACACACACACAGAGAGAGAGAGAGAGAGTCAGAGAGTCCTATGCAATGCTGCAAACTCTTCCCACCCACCGCCAGCATGCAGCCCCCAAGAGCTTATCTCTGAGGACCTTTAGCAGAGGGGAAAAAAATTCCCCATGCCTACCCTATAATGTATGGGTAGGCAAACTAAGGCCCGGGGGCCGGATCCAGCCCAATCACCTTCTAAATCTGGCCCGCGGACAGTCCGGGAATCAGCGTATTTTTACATGAGTAGAATGTGTCCTTTTATTTAAAATGCATCTCTGGGTTATTTGTGGGGCCTGCCTGGTGTTTTTATATGAGTAGATTGTGTGCTTTTATTTAGAATGCATCTCTGGGTTATTTGTGGGGCATAGGAATTCGTTCATTTCCCCCCCCCCAAAAAAAATATAGTCCAACCCCCCACAAAGTGTGAGGGACAGTGGACCGGCCCCCTGCTGAAAAAGTTTGCTGACCCCTGCTATGATGTCTCCTACTTGCCTAAGGCTTAGTTTGGCTGCAACAGCGTGGAGCAGAACTATGCTATTATGCAAGTACTTCTCAGGGTTGCAGCCAATGCAGTATCATAAATGTTTAAGACAAGGGTGTTAAAGCTGCAGTCCTCTGCTTACTTACTTGGGAATACATCTCAGTGGAACTTCCAAATAAACACATGCTGCGTAACCTAGAAATCAAAGTAAGAAAGCGCATCTGTGCCAATATCCTAGCTATATTCATAAATGGTAAAAAGAATGCCAGAATATATTCCACAAATGCATCATAATTATAATTGGTATCTAAAGCTACTAAGGGGTTCAAAAAATCAATCTATTTTTTAAAAGTAAATAAGCTTTGTATTCCTAATTGTCTTTTAAATTATCAGATTCATTATTTGAAAGGAGAGCAGCTGCTTGGAATTGCAATCTGATGACAACTAAGACAATGCCAACTTCTGATGCTCAGGACAAGAAAAGGAAGGGGGAACCCTATGTATTTTTTTATATCATTTTATCATGAAAACACACACACTCTCTCTCTCTCTCTCTATATATATAGATATATTGGTCCATAGACCCACAAAACAGTTTCAAAACAAGATACAGTTAACACAACCAAACAACAGGCGAAAGAGACCAAGGTAGTCATTTTGTTATGTCTAGAGCATGATGGTCTTTGTTTCTTGAGACCTCCGAAAGAAACTTTGCCATGGTCAGTGTAGTATCATTTGACCTATCCTCCAGAAGGTATTTAATATGGGAAGCTTCAGATTTTCCCGGCAAATTTGCTAGTAAGGGTTTGATCAGTTGTTCCCTTGCTTGCTCATACTTATTAATATGCCACAGATGTCACATAAACGTCATTTTGTTACATAATTCTATTTGGAAGCATAGTTCACCTATGCCAAGTGGCAAGATTTTGTGGGATGCAGTAGTTATATGTTTAATTTCTCTTCTTTCTATGTACCAACTGAAAGCATGACATAATCAAAGCTTTGTTGCAGTCATAAATCCTTGGACTTCAGCCATAAAATTTTTCCCTAGGAATCGTGTTGTGTGCGTTATCATGTTTCTCCTGCAATGCAATAGGATGCAAAGTTTCAATTCCATCTCAGCATGATAACTACTGAACTAGGAAGAGAAATGATGGTAAATGTCATTTCATCCTTTCAGCACTCAGAGATGATTTCATTCCCAAATATCAGGGGAAATTATCGCCTTTAGACTTGATTTTGTTCTTCTAGTCTACTATTGTAGAAAATGCTCATATTTTACAGAAACAACTCAATTTTTTGTCTGTGAGGTGCTGATGATACCAAAGATGCATTTCTGCTTTGAAATTAGGGTGTTATTGCTATAGTCACTTCTTGTCAAGACACTCCATGCTGCAAAAAATAAAGTGGAAATATTGCTACTCTAGTTGCTTGTGTATGACGAAGCCTCCAGAAGGTTCTCATGGGGAGCATGGAATTTGGGGAGGGGGAGGTGTTCTTTATGATGGGAAGAAGACTGAATTGTTGAGATCTCTTTTATCTTGGGCTCCATTTAAGGCTTACTTTCTTTTTAACTATTTAGTGGGGTGCCGGCTTGAGAGATTGACGCTTAGTGAAGATGTTCTCAGTTGCTGAACCCCTGACCTTTAAAGAAACACATACCCTTTGAAGGCATTAAGGGGCTACAACATAGCTATGCCCATAGCTTTTAAGGTATTCATATAGCTCAAGGTCTGTCTTCTTGCAGGCATTCATACGGATAACCTTTCTCTCGTCACTACGTATTGTCCCCTCTAAAGACACACTTCCCACAGAGAGGGGCATTCTTAATCATAAAATTTTTAAAAGCGCTGGGGAGCATTTTTATTTGAAAATACTTTCCTTTAACCCCATCCACCCTTCTTTAAGTAAAAGGAAATATATTTATACCTTGTACAAGGAGTGCCAGTACATGGTGGTTTCTTGAACTAATTCCAGCAGAAAGCCCTTTATCATTCCCACATACAAATTGTTGTTGCATTCTGCCACTTCTAGAGTATTCTAAATCATACAGAATAAGAGACAGGCAAGAACTTTATGAATAATGGCTCCTGCAGACAGCTATTATATTTTATTTAAGAGCAAACAAATGGATGTTAAGGCACGCAAGCCTTTGCAAGTTAACAGACTCAGTAAGCTGACAAGGAGCGCTGCAGTTAACACTTGTCAAGATCATTATGTCAATTAAGTGGCCAGACACTCTCTTTGATATTCTATTGACTGCATGAGTTGACACATTTTAAAAATCCTGCTTCAAATTGACTTCAGCTTATTAAACACCACATGTCTAGGGCACTTACCAACACATCCTCAGCTTTAGATTATGTCCTCCTTTTCTCACTGAACTGTACATGTTAGTAGATCCATCATTCAGACTTTGTAGGCTTTTGAAATGCAACTTTGCTTTACAAAAACTATTGGAGTTCTGCACACTTTGCATATCGGCCATAATCTAGCTGCCACCCAGCAATGAGACACTGGAGGGGAAAATGGCTTTAGAGTTGTTTTACTTCATTTCCTCCTACAATAGGGCATGCAAATGGGAAATTTAGATGCATCTGAAAATGCACACACACAGTGGAATTTTAATAATATCAGCTTCCCTTAAGGGTTTTTATGTAGGAGTTGGATCCTTACGTAGGAGTAGGAGCCTTATCTGACAAGGACTTCTTGGATTCTACAATAACAAACATTTTAAAATGGGGAGAGGTACAGAAGGATAATAAGATCAGGCATAGGGAAAACTCGGCCCTCGATGTTTTTTAGGACTACAATTCCCATCATCCCTGACCATTGGTCCTGTTAGCTAGGGATGATGGGAGTTGTATGCCCCAAAATATCTGGAGGGCTGAGTCTGCCTATGCCTGGATAAGATTAATGTATTGGTGGCAGAAACAGGAATGCTGGGAAAATGTCCTGTTCATGTCAACAGGGTCAAGACCACTGCCAGCTGGATAAAACCTAATTAACTTTCAAGAGTTCTGCAGATATGTAAACTATTGCTGGCAATAATAAAGCCGGGGTATGAGCCTTGAAGCCTAGGTAGTCATTGAGGTCCCAATAAACAGCTACATTTTGGGTTGTTGTTTTTTTTAAGGGTCAAGACCAGCAATTAACCTTTGTGCTAGAAGTGAAGGGAAAGTAGAATGTCTTTTGCATCTTTAAAGCAGGCATCTCTCTTCCTGCAAATTCACACTGATGACCTTTCTCCAGTAGGCTTCGTATATCTCCATCTTTCAACCTATCCCCAAGTTCTAGACAAACCTCATGCCAGCTTGAGCTTTGGCAGTGATCAAATGTCATGCTAAGCCAAAATGTATGGTTTGCTTAATGATACTGTGCACAAGTTGGATGTAGTGCATGATGTTCAAGCTCTCAAACTTCACGTTTCCGAACTTAGCCAAGCACAGAAACAAACCTAGCAATGGCTGGCTTAGTGTTACATCTTAATTGACAGCCCGTTTGTTTCTTTCTGAACCACATTCTGAATCCAAGTTTAGTTTTTGATTTACTCACCATGGTTTGTCTGGGAGAAACAAACCATGAGTGCTGGTTCGGATATAACGTTAGGCTAGCTGCTCTGCACCTTGTTTACCTGTTTGACTGAAGGAAGAGGAAGGCAGGAGTGCTCTGAGTTGCATGCCTAAACAAACCACAGTTTGTGACTTGGTTTTATGTCTGAATGCTTGCTCCATGTACGTGGGAAATATCATGCCTCCAATTTGATGCAATTTAGCCTTGCCTTTTTACTCACCTTTTCTATTTGTGGCTGCAACGTCTCTACCAGCAGTTTATCTTCTTTCAGCTTTGGTAGAAAACTGCCTTCTTGTACCACCTCTGTTTCTCCTACAAGATCTCTACTCTCACCCCTTGCACACCTGCTTATACTTGAACCCTCTTAGCCTATCCTACAAACTCTGAACACCTGCTTGCCACAGTGAGGCAAATTGATCCACCTGTATGCTCCTTCAAACACCCTGCTGAATTCCCACATGCCTTTATCACTAGTATTTGGCAATGCCTCTAAGCCAGAAGTCACCCATATATCATTCCCAACACACACATATATATACAGAGAAGATAAATTGAATATGGGTCTCTAATTCTCCATGTGTGAGGACATTTAAAGTTACAGCCTAGCTATTAAGGGGGCCGGGACAGCTCATTACGTCAAAAAATACAAAATCTGCAAAGAATCTGGTTTCAGTTTTCACAATTTTGATGCTTCCTTCCTTCCTTATGTTAAGGAGGAGGGTATCTTTCCTGTTTCCTGTCCTGTCTTACACTACATATTCATTTGAACAGAAATCCTTCCGTGTACATATTTCCTATAGCTCCAAATATAGCAAGAACTTTCTTAGATCTTGGAGGCCCTTAAGCACCACTGATGCTGTAAGTTACAATTCACATTAGAAAATATCTCCTATTGCTCTACATCAGAAATTAAATGTTAGCATTCCTTTTCAATTTGCCCTTGTTAAAATCCTGTGTCAATGGAAGTCAATCGTTCTGCAGCACTCCTCCCGGGCTATTAAAATATCTGTCAATGTGAATTGTAATTAGAGATGGCTAGTTTTGTATGATCTTGCTGTATCCTACCAAGAGTTAACCTTTTCTCAAAAAACAACAACGCTTAGAATGGGGGGGGGGGACCTTACAAAACTGTTGAAGAAAATTCAGATTGTGGTCAGGAAATTACATCTGTTAGATCAAGGCCATGTAAAGGTAAATGCATTTGCCTTTCATCTTGAAGTTACATATAAATGAACAAGTGTGCCATGTGTTTTTTATTGTTGTTTGCATTCATTCCTGCATTAAAATGAACAGGAGGCAACAAACGCATCAAGAAATCTGAAACTGAAAGAGATGTAAGACTGCAACATACTATCCCTCCTGTTTTGCAGGATAGACTATAGAACTGAAATGAATTTATATAATCAGATGTAGATTTGTAATTTTGAAGTGATATTTTGAAAAAATATATATATAAAAAAATCAGAACAATGAACTAGAAATTTGAAAATCTAAAATTCACCATGTCAGAATGAGTCCATAAGATGTTTATGTTCAGAACTGATGCTTTGGAAGTTAGCAGATTTGTCAGATTCCAATTTTTACTTCAGCAGAGCTAGTAATGGATCAGACATTATGGGCCAAAGATATGCAAACTGCATAGGTTACAGCCATAGCATCAATATTTTGGTTAAATTGCATTGTAAAGTTGAATTAAATATAACACTTTGTGAGTCATAAATAAGCACATCCTGATAAGTTGTGCTCGCCCTCTCTTCTAAACCAGCTCCCTGAAGAAAAGGTTTTGGTCCCATTTCTCTTTGGGAGCAATCCCTGATGGGAACTGTTGCTGCAGTAAATCGATGTGCATATAAACATGTTACAACATTGCATAATCCAGTATCTTCTATATGCTTCCTCTTTCCTGTAATCATGGGTATCATTTCATATTCCAGAAGTATAAAATGTTTTAAGAGTAGTAAGATTCTCAGCAAAATCTAAAGTCATGAGATTATATAACTGTAGTTGAGGGGATCCCAAGGGTCATTTAATCCAACCTCCTGCAGTGCCGGAAAGTCCTAGTTTTAGAGATAATCAATATTAAAGGGGAGGGCAAGTGTTGTAGTTACTTCTTTATATCCCATAACTACAGCAATGCTATCAACAAGGGTCAATGTTCATACCTACTGAATAGATCTGTTTCATCATTTATAACAAAAGTCACTAAGCAATCAGTACGTTGGCCAGAAATATAAGCATGCCTCACAAATAATCACATGTGCTCCAATATATCTCCCTTCCCTAAATGTGCCCCTGCTGGCGCACATGCACATAAACATACATAACTTGATTTGACATCATTTCAGCGCTAAGTTGAGGGTTTGAAGCAAGTCAACTAAAGAGCCCTGCATTGTATTCATGGTTTTTCCCTACTAGGTCCAAGATACTGGATTCCACATAAAAAGCCCATGAGAAGAATATCATAGGAAAATGTTTCTCCCATATAACATACCCCCTTGGGATGTGTCTTGGAGAACAATTCTTTCAGGTTTGTCTAGTGTCAGAAGTGACGTTCTCCTCGACAGAGTATTTTCAATTATTTCTCTGATATCCTCATGGAACAAGCTCTCAAGAAAGCTTGTGTATGTTCTTGGAGTATGCTGCATTCCAGCTCTTTGTTGCTCTTAACTGTTTCCATTTATTAAAAATAACATGTTTTTAATTGTATTTTATTGTTATCAATTGACTGTATTATATTGTTTTACAATGTGACTTTATTATTCTTGTATGCCACACGTTGAAGGCTGTATTTGGTGGAAATGAGATGTATAGACTTTGATGTATGAATGAAATATCTGTCCGTGGCATTTGGTGATTCCAAGAGACTGCAATCTACTCCCACTATAAATAAACTGGCAGTGATCCACCCATTGGATTGACCAGAGTTGTTCAGCTTTTTGGGGGGAGGATGACCAGAGTTGTTGACCTTTACTTTTTTGGTCCATCAATCACCATCGCGCAATCAACCAGGATTGACCAGGGACACCCCGCAATCGACCAGTACATCACCATCGGCCAGTTGGACAGTCCTGGTTTACATGAACAGACTCCCAAAAAAGTGAGAACAGGATTGCAGACTTGGTCACACATGCAAGTCACTGCTTGAAGCGACTTGAAGCGATGAACAACTAAGCATGAAATAGTCCCTAGTCTTAAAAATGCACACTCTATCAGGGTGAGCAGGATGCCTGGTTCTAGGTGAGAAGACAACACCCGGGCTCCTGTTCAGTCGCTGCTGCCTTTAGTTCTGTCTCCTTCCACAGCAGATCAAAGCCCTTCCCAGCCTCCACAGGAAGATGTGTCTGCCAAGGCAGATTGGCATACCTGCTCCCCCTTCCCAAGTGGCTGAAGTTGGGGCAGAGAGGGGAGACATCCTGTTCCTACAAACCAGGCTTCCAGCATTTCTTAATGGCTGGTCTTTCACACATTTCTGGTCATGCATTAAGTAGAAAGCACATAAGTGGGGAGTTGCCTGAATTTCAGGCTTTGGATTGTTTCCCTTAAATGTCACATAAAAACACATCTAGTGGGCTCAAACATTCTGTTTCAATGAGTGAGGCAAGTATGTTTTCTTCCAGGGGAAATTGCAAAAAAAAAATCACTCTTACTAAGCCATTCATCTTAAAACCTAACAGATTGATAACCACATAAAAATGTATCCTGTAAATTTCAAATTTCAATTCCCCCACCCCTCCCACAGAGTGGTAGCATCTGAGTGGCAGTCACCATATGACTAAGGGTTATAGCCAATAGCGGCTTCTGTGCACAGAAGAAGGGAGGTGATTTTCACCAGTTTCCCTTCCCTGTGCCCTTTCCCAAAATCTGCCCTGGGAAGTTGGGGGTTCCTCTGGTATAGTAGAACAGGGGGAGGGGCCGCATGGCATGGGGAGGGGCTGAATGGGAAAGGGGGAATGCCTCCCTCCTTTCATTCACAGAAGCCTTTGATGGATCAAATAACTTTTTGTGATTGAAATTACACCTTTGGCCACATTCCTGAGCTGCAGACAGCTCAGTCCTCAGAATGATTTATTCAACATGTGTCCAATCTGCAGGTCAACCCATTATCAGACGGCATTAAGACTGAGGTGGTCTAAATGAGGTAGCTGATCTCAACCACTTATTTTTCAAAGTGTAAAGGCCATAGCACCTGCTGGCAGGTAAAATGTAGATTTCACCAAACAAGCACCTCATTCTCCACTGCCCATTTTTTGCTGAACTTATTTAAGAATTATATTATGAGAAGATTTAATGTAGGTTTTGCTAGAAGCCAAGCTAAAGGTCAACTTTAACTAAAGTTTCATTTGCTAACTCCAAAACATTAATAATTATGAATAGTGATAGATTTCTTTTAGGTGGGAAATAGATTTAAAGGATTGTATTAAAATTGTATTCCTCTAAAGGTTCTTTGATCCAGCAGAGTTAGTGGAAAGGGGGCTATTTTCCCTGAATCCCCCTTCTCTCTGCAGCTTCCTATGCCCACCCCAAACACGTTCAAGGGGACTGGGAGACCCTTCAGTACAGTGTGGTAGGTGGGAATTGTGGAATTTCCATAATTTCCACACACACACTTTTAGCTCATCAAATTCTCCACTGGATCAAAGAGTTCTCCATCAGTGGATGGACACAATTGGATACAATCCATAGACATATTTTAAAGACAAATACATCTTCATATGAGAAAGATTGCAGGTACAATAAGACTAGGTAGGAAGTATAGACTCAGCATACCGAACCACATGCTGGAACCTCTCAAAGGAATCAGGGTGCACGCTACAGAGCCAGGATTCTGTTTAAGTTGCTAGGTGCAAGGAAACCTGTTCTGCATATGGGTACTACCTCTTTGTTACCCCAATCCAGTTACAAAAGCACCTGGGAACCAGAGAGAAAAAGAAAGAAAAGTAGAAGATCAACAGAAGTAGAAGAAGGCAAACCGAAGGAGAGAGAAAAGGGGCCAAGCACTAGAGCAGGCATCCCCAAACTCAGCCCTCCAGATGTTTTGGGACTACAATTCCCATCATCCCTGACCACTGGTTCTGTTAGCAAGGGATGATGGGAGTTGTAGTCCCAAAACATCTGAAGGGCCGAGTTGGGGGATGCCTGCACTAGAGGCATGGTGATCGGTCCTTTCTAGGAAAGGAACACGCTGTAACTCATGGGTAAGGCATATGCTTTGCATGAAAAACGTCCCAAATTCAGTCCCTGCTATCTCCTGATCTGACTTGATATAAGGTCACCTTCTACGATCCTAAGAAATTTTCTTTAAAATGATGGCATTTTGTAGATTACTCTTTTTCCTTATGTATTCATGCCTCCAATATTAGCTGAGACTAGAAGTTATCTGGCTTTAGGGGTTAATGTTTGGCACAAACACCAGATGCAGCTGTATTGTGTAACCTGGAAGGCAGAGAGGAGCTGCACGTTTTTGTTGTACTCATTTCTTTGCAATGAGGAGAATCGAGACAGAGACCAAAAAACCCTCCTAAGTGATCTTTTTGTGTTTTGGAAGCTTTCCCAAATGACCATTTAAGTTTGCTCATTAGGCTCCCAAGTTCCAAAAGCCTTAGTTTAGAAAAAGGCAGTGGCCTAATAAGACTTTCCATTCTACTGCAGATGTAATATTTATGAAATGATTATAATGTCCCTGTCGCTGATTTGTGGGCAACAGGCTAAAATGGAAGCACATTAACAAGCAAAAAGGTAAAGCTTTTCTATTGCCTTCTTTAAAAATAAAAAATAAAAACACCTGTGACTCATTTTTGAGAAAGGAGGTGAAGGGAGGTGCTCCTCTGCAGATAACTGTGTCCAATTCATTGGCAACATATTCCTTTTACCATGCCAAAGATGTGAACATCCTTAGTCAATGCAGTTTTGGTATAGGGCTCAGTTGCATTGTCCTTTATTGTGTTGGCATAATTCGCTTGTGCTCCAAGCAAAATATGAAAATCATATGAGAAAAACAAATTAATATTTGAGTATATTTTGCTTGAAGCACAAGTTATATTGAGTTATATTGGTGAGAAGAAAAAATTATAGTCTTTATACACAGGTTTTAAAGAATACACGATCAAGAACTATGAATAAACTAAAAGAAAAAGAAAAAGGATTCCTGATGCCTTATTTTCATCTGGATTCACATGGGGTTTATATTTAAAGAGGTAATTGCCAAAATGCCAAAAAAGAGAGAGAAAAGATGAGTCCAAATATTAATGCAATATCTCCACTAAATACTGCTTATGATTATGTCAAATTACCTCTCTCGAGGCCAGCTATTTAAAATAGAATATCTCACATTTGGACAAACTGTTTATAGATTTATTTGCTTTCTTAAGATAAGAGACCATTGTTTTTTAAACAATAAAAACCAGGGTGTGATCCAAAGTAAATCAAGTCTTATTGGAAGAGACCATACTCGTGTTTACATCCTTTTGGGTGATGATATACTCAAAAATTTCAACCATCCATATACAAAACCATAATACTCAGGCATCTCTTGCACAGTACTGGAAAACTTTACTTACGTCATGGCAATGATTCACATTGAAGACATCTTAGAGGAAATTAAAAGTGCCTAATGTGGAAATAATGTAAATGCTTCTAAAACGTTAAGGTTTCTTTTGCAGTTATCATTTTGTATGCATTCTTTAGATGACTATGACAGTTGAAATGATGCCATCACAGAATTTTTGCATGAAACACTATGCTCAACTAATCAGTAAGAGTGAGAGAGAAAAAAAGTTCACAGTATTCTAATCACTGTAGTTAACCTTTAGTAATTCCCCCCCCCCCCCAAAAAAAAACTGCTTTACATGAATGCAATCCTCTGTAAGAGATTATTTTTGGTAATGCAGTTCTTTCTAATCATTCAGAATATTAGCCTAAAAAGTAACCAAAATTATCATTTGAAAAACATATTTGGCTAGAAATGTTCCCACTCCAATAAGCTATGGTTATCCCTTCAGAAAGCAGTCTTGCTATATTATGCCAATCTTATTCTCACTTCACTATGTCTTGCACTATGAACAGTGTAAACAATATCACTTGGCCCAAGGCAGATGTGGCTCGACAGAGCCCAAGTAATTATAAACAGTGGAACAGATCTGTTGGTCCTGAGGTTTACCATTTGCTGTGCTGTATGGTAGAGAACTGGCCAGTCTCAGACTGACTAATCTCCTGCTTTCAGTGAAGTGGCTCATAGATTTCCAAGCTCATCGTATCTTACAATATGTCATACTAATAGCATCTATATAAGCCATGGTAGTTAAATGGAATCTCCATGTTCAGAAGCGGTGTAATTTTACACACATAAATGTGGAAGAAAACTACAGGACATGGCTATCACTTTCATACCCTGCTTTGGTTCCTGAAATATCTGGCTGGCCACTATTAGAAAAATAATATTGGACTTGAAGGGTTTTTATTTGATCCTGCAAGACTACACATCTGTTCTTACATGGTGCAGAAACCATCTATAGTCCAGATCACCTACTCTTTGGGCATAATGTCAGGCAAAAAAATTATTGAATTGTGCTCTTTCTCTGAAAAGTAAGTCCGAACAGGATTCCTCTTAAACCCATAGTTCCAATCTAAAACAATGAAAAATATGTCTGAATATTATGTAGTTATTTTGCTTCTGCCCTCTCATTCTTTGTATTAGTAAGAAAAGGGGGAAAATCAAATTGTGTTACCTATCTATACTTACTGATACTCAAGGGACATTTGACTCATTTAGCAAACTCCCAGAAAGATCAGTTCTTGATCCAATGGGGGGAAAAACTGCTGAAATTACATTTCAGATTGTTTAAGTAGATTTTTTTGTCCATTGTTGTGAAGCTGGGTGTGCATAAAATATGACAACTAACCTATTGCAAAGTCAGATAACCTTGTCACATATTGTTAGCTCCTAGAGTTTATGGCATTTTCTGGCACTTTGATGCCCATAGCAAATTTCCAAACCTAGACTGTTCAGGTCACATTCTAGAACTATGACAGATACCCTTCTCCTTTTATATTAACTAAGCTGTTCTCATTGTCCCCAGTTAACACAAGGACCTGACTCCTTCCTTGTAGCAGAACTGCCCATTTTGGAAGGGATGGGTAAGAACAACATATGGTAGCTTCTTTCTCCTTGACAATCATGGTCGATAGTTTAAAAGATCTAAAACTCATTCTCTACACAATTTATAGTAAATACTGCATAAAGTAGCCAGTCCTCCAAAAATGGATACATCCTTATGCCTGGGCAAATGGAGAAGTGTTAATGCGTTATCTGAAAACAATGTATTTGTCTGATGATCTGAGACAAGTAATTATTTGTCCCAGTTGGCTACTCTGGAATTGCCCAGTCAAATCCCAATATCTCTTCCATATACAATTTTCTGATCCGTTTTAGATCCTTTCCCCTGAATCATATCTGCAGATACCCAAGGTTTAGGACTGCCCTGTAATGTACAAACACTAATATTCTTGTGAGCACACACACACTCACAAGCCTTCATATTGCAGAAGGCTGAGTTACTATCACATATAGGGAGTAAGCCCCATTTAATTAGCTAACACTTTATTTCAAGTAAACACCCAACAGACTTCGAAACTTGATTTAGGCAGGTAACACTTATTTATGTCACTTAAGACAGATTTAGTCAACAAGGATAGCACACACACAAATTAAGATGTACATTAGCACTGGTTCACAGTACTGAAATGTTCAACATTATGTAGAATAAACATTTATAATACTTTAGGTAGAGAATACAGAACAAAAATGTTTTTACATGAAACAGACTAGCCTATTTATACAACAGACAGAACTTCTGAAAATACTTCAGATGCAATGCATCAGATTTATGAAATGATACTCTAACAATGTGCACACATGTCATTATGTTGACCCTCCATGCAAATTTAAAATTTGCATTTTGTTTAATCCATAAATACCACCAGAGGTTTGCCGCTGATACCTTCTGCGAATACCAGAAGCAATGATTATGAATGACAGAAATTGAATAAACTTCAAAGTCTTACACAAGCATAGCATGATAGTGCAATTCACACATATTGAATTGCCTATATTAACAAAATTATTTAACATTGCTATTCCAGAAAATATTTGTTAGCAAAATTGGGGGAGGTGGGAACAGTGTTAATATATGTTTGTACAACATAAAATAACCCAGATGGAGCAACAACTTTCCATTACAACTTCAAAATATCTTTCATTTAAGTTATCCCGCACACTTTCCCCAACCACTGAAAATATTTGTTAAAAATATACTGTCTTAATACTGCCTAGCATAATAACATAAATGGAATTGGGAATGATGATTCACCACAACCCGCAGACCGCTTTTACCTTTGCAATCTTTTTCTTTTTTTCCCCCAGTAGCCATAGCCAATCATTGCTCTCCTCGTCCATTATGCTTCTCTATAGCAGAGTGAGATGCTTCTTCATTAAGTAGTGTTACAAATAGAACACACCCGAACTCCCAAGTGGAGAATGCTCTAACGACGCTAAGGCTACAGTTCTCAAGGTAACCAGGCTCAGTTGGAAACTGAGAGCAAAGTCAATGTAAGATTAGTTATTTGCAAGCCTTAATTGCACATTGCAGCTTGCCTCAATCCATGATGAACACTCTTAAGAAGAACGGTATTCAGTTAAATTTTTAAGCAATGCAGATAAAAAAGCAAAACAAACACACAACACAAATTTTACCATTCTTATACCTAAAGCAACATAAAATTTTAAAGTTTTTTTTTAATGTACAACACAACAGACAAGCCAATCCAGTTAGTCATAAAACAATATAGTTCTCTTGTTGCCTTACACAATATGGACAATTGTAACACTGATGGATTTAAACACAGCAGCAGAAAAGGGGAAAGCATACAGTTCAGAAAAATGCTTCTGGCTCACAGAGTTCTGGATGAAGAAGAAGAAAAAAAGAAGAAGAAGAAAAAGTTGTTCTCAACATGAACCTGGTTGTACAACAGAAGAATGGTGGAATGAACCCATGCTTTGTTTATCCCCAAGAAAACAAAGCATCTGGTGGATACAAATGTTCAGATAAAAGTGTAACATAATAGCAATGAAGTAACTGCAAGCAATGAACACAGCAGAGTTCAGACAGCTGACTTTTAATTTCAGATACTTAAATGAGATACAGCAAGCTGCAAAGCTATTTCTTCCATGACATCATATGGATGCTAACCCAAATGTACTACTTTCTACCAAATCAAAACACAGCAGCTAAGCATTAGGAATACCTGAAAACAACACAAGATGCTTTACTGTCTTTTTGACAATTTTAAGAAAGTTTTATGCATTATCCCTCCGCCCCCCTTCTTTTACACACTACCTGGAAACCACTGGTGCTAAGGAAATATTCCGATAATCATAATGGCAAAAGACAGCTGGAATTACCATGCTTCTCCAACTCCATTGTCAAATCAAAGTATCTTTTTTGAAGTTTTCCTATCATCTGGGATCTAATCTCTGTCGTGAGGGTGGGATATCTTGAGCTGTCATTTTGAGAATGCTCCCATGTTGCCAACGCGTCCTGAATCTTATCAGGGAAGCAATGCTTCCAACAGATTTCAAGCCACCTACCCAAACCTCTGCGATTTCCCCATCGCTAGCAATTCTGCCAGTCACTTCCAACCTCACTCCTAAACTATCCGCCATCTGTTATTTACTGCGCAAGTGGAAAGGGAGAGATGAAGCAGCACGTTCATAACAACACGCGAGACGCGTGTCTGCGGGGCGCGTATGTTTGGCAGAGAGGATCGTGGCTCAGTGGGGAAACTTTCTCAGCGCCTGCCTGTATTTATTCTCCCCGGGAAACCCAGCCCACCTTTTCAAAACACACGCATAACAGATACAAGGTTGGTGTCGACACCCCACCACCCACGAGCCCCCCTGCGTGGAAAAGGCATCTTCCGGAACCTCGCGTCCACCTGGGCAGAAGAACTCCCTAAAAATGCTCAGCCCGAGCACCATTCGCTACAAACCTCGGATCCCACCGAAAGCGAGCGCGGAAAAGACACGCGTCAGAAGCTCCACACAACCATCTGGCCGCGCGCTAGACCCACCCTGCCTGCCTGCCTGCCCGCTTCCCTGCCCGCGCTGATCGACCGCAGACGCGCGAGAGGCTTCGGGACAAGCGAGACAAGAGGCGGGTGCGAAGGCAACGAAGACACGCGCGCACGCGTCCACACGTAGGCGGGGAGGGGGGTGGTTAGCGGGGAGGGGGAGGTCGCTTGGCGTTTACCTGCAATGGACGCGGCACCGGCTTCTTGGCGGAGTTTGGGGCTGCTCGGGCTGCAGGGCAGGGCGCTGCTACAGCGCAACGCCCGCTTTCCGGGAAGGCATGGTCTGCTCCTCCTCCTCTTCCTTCCTCCTCCTCCTCTTCCTCGCACTCTGGCTCCCGGGGCGGCGAGTCCTCCGCTCGCCTCACTCTCTCTCTCCCTCCCTCACTTCCCCGGCTTCATGGCTCCTCCACGCCCCGCGCCCCTTCCGCCTCCCCTCGGAACTTCGCCTTTATTGTCTCGGCCGCTCGGCTCCCTCACGCCCCGCCGCGCCGCCCGCCGCCTCCCGCTCTGCCTCCGTTCCCCTCAGACTGAGCCGCCCGCCCGCCTTGCCTTCCTTCCCCCTCACGAATCCCGTCCTCCTGCCGCCGCCTCCGGTCGCTTTCCTCCCGCCGCGTCGGCCGCCTCTATTTCTGTCCGTCTGCCACCCCTCCCCTCGCGCGCTGCCTCAGCCTGTGGCCCAACCCTTCGGCGGCTGGCGGGCTCCGCGGCGTCCTCCGCCCTGCTGCCGCCGCTGCCGCCGCCCCGTTGTCCCCTCCGTTCAACTAGCACTGGCTGCTGCTGCCGCTGCTGCCGCCTCCCCTTCTTCTTCTTCTTCTTCTTCCCCCTCAGCCTCGCCTCTCCCCGCCCACGCGGCCCACCGGAGACAACGTGCCAGGCGCTCGCCCTCCTCGCCGGCTCGGCTCTTAGCGCCTCTCGCGCTCCCGCTCATTCTGCCGGCGGCGGCGGCGGCGGCGGCAACAGCAGCAGCGGGATTGCTGCCGACTCTGCCGCCGCCGTCTTTATCACGGGGCGGCGGCGGCTGCCTGCTGGCCTCTCCCCTCCTGCTCTCTAACTCCACGAGCAGAGACGCGCGCACGGCGCGGCGGGCTCCTGGCTGCCTCATAAATGTGTGTGTGTGGTGTGTGTGTGTGTGTTTTTGCCGGCACGTTTTGTGTCATCCATTCGCCATGCCCCCCCCCCCTCAAGCGCTCGCGCCCGCCCATCCTCAGCCTGTAGCTGTGAGACACAAAAGCACACTAATAAGGAGAAGCTTCATTAATCTCTGGCAGTTTTTCTCCAGCCCCTAAATATGCCCCCAACAATTGAAACGTAGAGTTGTTGTTATGTATTGCGGGTTTTTTTTAAACAACAACAACAACACCGCAGGGTTTTGCTTTACCTCAGCAGTTAAGTTTTCAGCAGGGTTGTGGGGGAGATTCTGTATGAAGCCTCCCCGCCCCCCGGGAAAGAGTCATTTGGGGAATAATTTACATTTCTCTGTGTGCCCTGTTTTAAAACGAATGCTCTTTATTTTGGCAGACCTTGCATAGCAGCCCACAGATCTAAACACTGGAGTCCCACAGGGCTGATGGCTTGGGGAGGGCGGCGAAAATCACCTGGCCACCCTAGAGACGCAAGATGTGGGTGAGTGCACATGTTTGCATGAATGTCTCTCTCTCTCTCTCTCTCTCTCTCTCTCTCTCTCTCTCTGTGTGTGTGTGTGTGTGTGTGTGTGTGTGTGTAGGGCTGAACCCTTAATAATGCAAATACAAGGCAGAGAATCTGAGCAGGATGGAATGAGCATGTCTTGCTTTGAAATATTCCAAATCCACAGATCCCGAAGAGGCAACAAATAGGACAGCTCCTCAGTATTCCCTTTACTTTTGAAGTTTTCGACTGGCAGTCTCATCATCAGTCCTTCCATCCCTCCATCGTCTCAGTACCTGGCTTCAGTCCTGTTTCTTTTAAGCATGTTGCTGTGTGCAAACCTGACACACAATATGAAAATGTGATAATTGGCGCTCATCTTGCTGATGCACCACTTATTTGCCCAGCCGAATAAATCCAGAGCGCTCGTTCTCTGCCCAGCTGAGGAAGGGGCATTCACCTCTTTTTTGCTAGGTGGATATTAATATGTAACAAAATTATAGCTGTTGCAGCCCCAGATCTAATTGCTATAGATCATTTCCAGCAGTCCCAGAGAGCCAGCTGCTGGGAAACGGCATGGTTTAGTGAGTGCCTTGTCACACCAACACACCCCACTAGAATAATCGGAAAGGAGGCAGAAACGTTTAATACCACTAGCTGCAATTATTAAACCCATCACAGCAACGAGAAAGAGGAAACAGGCATATTGCATACACTAAGGTAAGGAAATGTTTTCACCCTCTTCTGCCCAGATGAATCAGGAGGAAAGGTATGTTTCTGATAGCTCTTAAGTTTGCTAAAAATAAATAGGTAAAATGTAAGAGTGTGTGTGTTCTGTACATGTACACATTTGTATATTACAATTGTGTGTTTCCGGAAGGATCGCAGCTTTTCAAAGCTGAGAAAAATGCAGGAGACCACAAACCAATAAGGAACTACATAAATGCAGTAGGAGGCGGCAATTACATCCTTTATGAAGCTTTTTTTAAAAAAAAATCATTGGAATCTCCCTGTGGGATTCTTGGAAGTCAACACCTGCCTTTCAAACAGTCTTGTACAAGAATGACCCCCAACCGAGTGTGGATTAGCAAACTGTGTACACCTCAAGTGATTGGAGGCTTTCAGCCAACTACACCAAAAGTGGCCTATACTAACTAATGTACCTCCTGAGGAGGCTTGTTTCTGTGGGTAAACTGCAACAAAGAAGTGACCGTAAACAATCCTTGCTTATGTTGTAAGTAGCCTTCCTCAGCCTGCTACCCCCTCCTGCCCTTGGGGCTACAAGCATCATCAGCCCCTGTGGGAAAAGACATTCACATAACATAATTTCCCAGTTAAAGGGTATCATTCTCCACTTGGTACCTACTCTCCCTAGTTAGATAATTTTAGACTATGGACTTCATGGTATCACTGGAGAGCTCTTTGGACTATATTTTCACTTCTTTTAAAATGCTTGCTTATTTTGGGCACCTGCCTAAGGCATCTGCAATGGCTGCTTCTTCACCACGAGACAATTTAAAGGTTTGGCTGCTTGCATGCAAAGCCTTAAATAACCTTGGACTAGGTTATCCAAAACAAGTAGTCTTTTTCCATGTCCAGTAAGGGCACGACAATCGGCTACTGGAACCTGGTTAGTTTTGCCACAGCCTGATGATGCTTGTGGTGACACGGAGCTGGCCTTTTTCACTGCTGACACCCTGCTGAAATAAGAGAGGCAACATCAGTGGGACGCGGGTGGCGCTGTGGTCTAAACCACAGAGCCTAGGGCTTGCTGATCAGAAGGTTGGTGGTTCGAATCCCCGCGACGGGGTGAGCTCCCGTTGCTCAGTCCCTGCTCCTGCCAACCTAGCAGTTCGAAAGCATGTCAAAGTGCAAGTAGATCAATAGGTACCGCTCCGGCAGGAAGGTAAATGGCGTTTCCGTGCGCTGCTCTGGTTCACCAGAAGCGGCTTAGTCATGCTGGCCACATGACCCAGAAGCTGTATGCTGGCTCCCTCGGCCAGTAAAGCAAGATGAGCGCCACAACCCCAGAGTCGCCTGCGACTGGACCTAACGGTTAGGGGTCCATTTACCTTTACCTTTCAATCAGTATTGGCATTCCACCTGCTCCGGAAGACGCATAGGTTTTTAGACAAGCATTCCATTGAACTTGTGATTTGATGGTTTTAACTGTTTTTCAACAGTTGTAATTCATATGCTTTTTAATTGTTTTATTGTATATTTTAGTTAAGGATGTGTTGTTACTGTGTAATTTAGTTATGGATTTATGTTATTGTTGCAAACAACTTAGAAGCCATTTTGGCGTATAAGTGGTATATAAAATAATAAATGATTATAATAAAAACTTCTGCTGAGTGGGGATCTGGACCTCCACCCTCAAAGTCTTGCCCTGATAACACCACTGACTTTTCTTTCTCCATACTGGATCTTTTGTGTTCTTATGGGAAGCAGCAGCAGGAAAAGGTGGTTGGGTGTGAAAGAGCAGGACTGAGCCGGACTGTGCAGAGGACACCAAACTGGATTGGGGTATCCAATATCTTAGAACAGTGGTTCCCAAACTCCCCCTGCAACAGATCACTTGAAAATTGCTGAGGGTCTTGGACCATGTAGTGATTTTTTTGCCTGTTGTAGCAATTGTAGCAATGATTTTAAATGCACTTTTATTGCTTATTTTATTTCTTATCTATTTTATTGTATTCTACAGAATTAAAATTGCAGTGCAATAAAATGCAACATAAGAAATAAAAGAAGCAGTGAATATTTAATGTGCTGGACATGCCATCTCTCATATTCAAAGACAAATCCACATACACACTATGGACCACCTGAATGAAATTCATGGACCACAACTGATCTGTGGACCACAGTTTGGGAACCCCTGTCTTGGAATATAGGAACAAGGTTCAAGATGGTTTGGACAGAATGCAGAACTGGGGCAAAAACTAATAGCATGAATTAAAAAGAGATAAATTAAAGATCTTTATTTAGGTAGGAAGAATCAGATGTACAAATACAAGATGAGTTTTGACAGCAGTAGATGTGGAAAAAGATCTAGGGGTTTCAATAGACTATAAGCTAAAGGAGTCAGCACTGCAACACAGTAGCTGAAAGGGCTAATGCAATTCTAGACTGCATCAACCGTGTAGAGGAACAATAGTATCCCTGTAACAAGAAGTAATGGTACTAATCTATTCTGCTTTGGCCAAATGTTACCTGGAGTAATGCGTCCAGTTCTGGGCACCACAGCTGACAACTTGGAATATGTCAAAAGGAGAGTGACAAAGATGGGGAGATACTTGGATACCAAGTCCTATGAGAAAAGGCAGAAGGAATTGAATGGGGAGGGGAGGCGCATGGTTTATGAACATGGCTGATAACACAGTCATCTTCAAAGATTTGAAGGGATGTCACTTAGGTCAATGAGCAGATTTGTTTTCTGTTGCACATGAGGATGAATGAATGAATCGGTTCAAAATTATATGTATAGAAAATGTATACTAAACAATTAGAAGATCGTCCTGATGGTACAAGGAGCAGTGGAACAGACTGCCAAAGAAGGCCTTTAATCAGAATCTGGGTGGGCACCTATGAGGGATGCTTCTGTGGTCCAAGAGTCTTTTGTTATGGTCCACTTCAATTATGACTTCACAGGGCAAGTCTAATTGCCATTTACACTTGCAGTGATTGATTGCTCAAACTGATTGCACTCTGTTGCCCTAATTTTTAAGTAATCAATAAAAGCTAACAAACTTATTATTATTATTATTGCTCTGTAATAAAACATCACCATTAGGAAAATTTGGAGGCAAACTACACATTACACAAAAATGCATTTAATGAATCCAGTACCTGCAATTTTTAGCAGAACAGTAGTGGGTGCAAGGAGCTATGTAACTCTTTTTCTGCTGGCTATTTTTATGCTCAAAAGCATACATAAACACACACACGAAGCTATTCTAATGGAGGATGGCATGCAAGGCAGAGAAGTCTAACATTAATGAGGGACTGATGTTGTCAAATGCTATGTAGTCAACTTGAAGACCAAAATGCAATTTAAAAAAATATAATTAAAATCTTGTCTCATCCATTATTTCACTAGCTAGATTTAGGTAAAAGCACTGTCTTGCAGCATCGATACCATAGCTACATTATAGTGACAATTAATAATTATCTTCTCTAAAGGACTGTAAGGATTACTTTACAATTGTAAGAACTGACCAAAATAATGTATGCAAAGCTCTTTGAACACTATACATATAGTACATATGGTAATTCCATGAAAATGTCAACCTACAGTCTCAT